ACCGGGTCTTCCTGGCCCGGAAGCCAGAGAACCGCGGGGATGCGCTCGAAGCCGACATCACCTTCTGCTGCCACAGGCAGACCGAGCAGCTGGGAGTATGCAGAGTCATCATACGGGTCTTTGAGGCGATGAAACAGGCGGATATCTGAAAGCCAAGGCTGCCCAGCGTCGGTCACGCCAGCCAGAAGAGTGCTGCGCAGGCGTTCAGGAGAGTACCCCAACGGCACGTTGCGGAGGACCATGTGCGTGTCGCCCCTGGCTCGGGCCAACGTGAACTCCAGGTTGGGATCAGATAACACTTTCACTTCCATCGCACGGTTGTTAGCCAGACGAACAGTAATCGGGAACAGGGAACGAAAAATCCTTGCATCCTGAGCAGACAACCAGGAATAGGAATGCCTCGAGTAGGTACGGCGAGGAAGCCGCAGAGCCTCACCAGCGGCCGATTCATACGAGGGGATTACACCGTTAAAGGCCTGACCGTTGATGAGAGACGAGATGCGCGCAAGCACCGCCGCACGAACCTCCTCGGCGGAAGATTCAGGGAAGATCACGTCCACCAGTGACTGCGTGTTCCGCGTCAGCGTGTGCAAGGTTGCTCCGACCGTCGTACGGTGGCGACGCAAATTCCGAAAGCGAACATTAGGAGCAAGGCCAGAGGCCGCACCAGCCGCAGCGTGCTCGGGTTCAGGTTCCGGCTGCACGGGCCGAGAGCGAGAGGCAGGCGCCGGACGAGGCGCAGAAGGACCGATCGCGCGGCCAAGCGCAGGAGCCGTGGCATCGGAGCTACCGGAAGAGCTCGCACGGGGAATCGACGGTGGAGCCGAGATTGACGCAGAGGCGACCCCAGAGGGGCCAGCAGCCGAGGACTGCCCCTCACCACACAGCTTTTTCGCCGCCGGTTAGCCCGACTGGGACGGGTGATTACCAGCAGGAGCGGAGTGCGCGACCTCATCATTGAGCACAGGCAGAGCGCCGTCAGAGAGATCCTCGAGGAATTCTTCCCCAAGCTCATCGAGGGTGTCATCACCGACAGGGATCTGACCCTCCGTCATGACGTGGTCGGGGTTATGCTCCGTAGCCATGGTTGCGAGGGGTAATCGTAAGAGAACCGAGCGAAAGAGTTTATACCAGAGTAGGGAGGGAAGGCCTGAAGGCCAAGGAACAGCGAAAACCAGCACGGAAGGCGAAAGCCCGTATCGCGTTTGAGAGCAGGTGAGCGGTTCGAACATAAAAAGGAGCCTTGGCAATGGCCGTGGCAACCGAGAGAAAATGACTGGGAGCCAGATCGGCTACCCGAGTCGGAAAGGAACGCATGTGAGGAGCACAGAAACACCAGGCCACCACGAGGGTTGGCAGGCTGGCCATGAGGTGGAAATGGTAGGCCTGGGTCTGGAGGACGGAGTAGGACCGCCGCAGAGGCCTTGCATGAGAGAATGCAACTGAAGGTGGTCCATCCTGACGCGGAAACGACTTGGACAGGGAGGTCTTCAGGATAAGATAGCAAGTTCCTTGATTCGTGTGAAAGCCATCCGTCATTTATGGTCAGGGCTCTGCTTTTGCTGAAGTGGCAACCTGTGACAGCACAAAAAACGGGAGTTAGCGCAGTCAACTTGCAATCCCAACTCACCTTTCCCAGGATGTCGGAGAAGAGAGGGCGGAGGAGAAACCGAGACACCAAGAACCTGCACACAAGTCCCTCGTTATTGTACGAAAAGCAGCATGGCTTACCTTCAAGAAGATCGATCCGAAAAGAAAGGCGAACGCAAACAGCTTTATCATCGAAGCGATCCAAAGGTGTTGAAGGGAAACGGAAGCTGGTGTAAACGAGGACAAGGATCAGCAGGGAAGCGGAGAGCTTCATTTTTTTTCGATCCAGGACTTCACGAAAATCTTAGAAGTAAGCAGGAGGAGCGTGGGGCAGGGAGTGGACCCAGAAGTCTTGAAGCAACGCTCGCAAAAACAGGTGTTCTCCAAAAACCACGGAGCCAATACGCACGCGCCACGCAGTACCAGCCCAACCTCGAACTATGGAGCTGGTACAGTAATGAGTTATTCGTTATTGCGCACCTATTCCCCTGCAATAAGACAATCGGGTATCCAAGACAATCGGCGAGATGAATTGAAGTATTGGCATGGAACGTTTGAGAGTGGTTCTGGGTGAATTGAATCAAAAGGACCACTAAGGATCAGCGTTGCCCAATCAGCTTGCAAATCGCTCACACCAAAATCTGGCTGGCTGTGCTGCTTGGCTCAATGACGACGGGGCGAAGTGTCGCGAAGACAAATTCAACACCTCGCACACACTGTCGCCAGGCACACCACCAGTTGAGCACAACCCACCTTGATGTAGCCCCATCGCTATTGGTCGAGCTCGATTGCCTGGATTTCGTGTGAGCAGGTGAGGGGATTTCGGAGCTACTGAGACTCGGAATGCACGCGGTCCGCGATGAGTGAGCATCCAATCGCAATCGCCCCCAACAATGCCTCTCCCCTCACCCCACCCCACCCAAGCCCAGCTTCTCCCTGAGACCTCGAGCTCAAAACGGCCGCCAGTCAGAAGTTCAGCAGTCAGGCACACTCATCCAGGATTATTTCCAGCAGCTTTCATTTCAATAGACTTACACATCCACAATGGCCGCTCTCGCAAACGCTGCTGTGCTCCCCTCCACCTTCGTCGGCCAGAGCGCTGAGCTCGCCGCCAAGGTGAACAATGTCGAGGCCCGCGTGACGATGAGGAAGACCGCCAAGGCGGCTTCCAGCAGCGCCTTCTACGGCCCCGACCGCAGCCTGTTCCTGGGCCCGTACTCCTCCCCCCCGTCGTACCTCACCGGCGAGTACCCCGGCGACTACGGCTGGGACACGGCGGGTCTGTCCGCTGATCCCGAGACCTTCGCCAAGAACCGCGAGCTGGAGGTAAGCCACACCAGATTCTTAACTAAACATTGGACCCCGATTTTCCTTTTGGGAGATGAGAACGTTTTCCAGAATAGTTCATTTCGTTGTGCGGCTTGCAATAGCAAGCTTCCATTTCGTTCTGTTCGTATCGTCACCAACTCCCGTTTCTCGAACCCGTTTTTTTTTGTAATTGATAAAGACGCTTTCTAGAATTAATCCAGATGATCGATGATGACGCTTCCTATAACCAGTCCAGGAAATTGGTCCAGGCCGTTGTGCGGCTCGCAGTAGGATATTCGGGAGTTCTTTTTTCTTACCGTCACCATCTCCTGTTTTTCTTGCGTCTCCTCCACCCATCAGGTCATCCACGCTCGCTGGGCTCTGCTCGGCGCGCTCGGCTGCCTGACCCCCGAGCTGCTCGCCGGCAACGGTGTGAACTTCGGCGAGGCCGTGTGGTTCAAGGCCGGCGCGCAGATCTTCTCGGAGGGTGGCCTTGACTACCTCGGCAACCCCAGCCTGATCCACGCGCAGTCCATCCTGGCCATCTGGGCCACCCAGGTCATCCTCATGGGTGCCGTCGAGAGCTACCGCGTGGGTGGCCTTGAGGGCTTCCAAGAGGTTGAGGATCCCCTGTACCCCGGCGGTGCCTTCGATCCCCTGGGCCTGGCTGACGACCCCGACGCGCTTGCGGAGCTAAAGGTGAAGGAGCTGAAGAACGGCCGCCTCGCCATGGTGTCGATGTTCGGCTTCTTCGTCCAGGCCATCGTCACCGGCAAGGGTCCCCTGGAGAACCTGTCCGACCACCTGGCTGACCCCACCGTCAACAACGCCTGGGCCTACGCCACCAACTTCACCCCCGGTGCTTAAATAGTTGATTTTGTCCTCCTGTACATTCTCTTTGTTCAATCTCGTAATACAATTTTAGACTCCAGATCCGTGATTTCAAGCAAAGCAACAACAACGGGAGTGTGAGATACAGATACGTGATGCGTTCAATACAGTTACTAGAGCTTCAGACTCCGAATTCGCTCTAGACCTCTGCACTAGCTTCAGAACGTGCATGTTTCGTGTGTGTTGGCTTGTTTGGGAAGAAGACTAAAGAACTGGGTGGAACTTCAAGATGGCGAAGGCCTTGGCTACTTCGTTGTATCAGAGTTGCACCGTCTGTCCCGACGCGTTACGTTCGCCACAATCAGCTAGTTCGACAAATTTCGTATCATCTCAGATGACAATACTAAGCTTTACAAAATACACGTACAGCTCGTGTCGAACACTCCTAGGTTTCCCACGATAGCTGACAGTTCGAAAACTACATTTTGCTTGCGAAGTAACCATGTCCTCGCCAAACAGTGGTGCAATTTGCAAGCGCGTGGACGAAAACAGTGAGGTGATTTGCGATGCGGTTGTGCGAAGGTTATTTTGTTACTCCCTGCCATTCTTGACCAGTCTCGATCTGGCATACGAATTGGCGGTGTAATGAAGACGTGATTTTCACAGAGCCAGGACGTTTCGCAAATGAACAAAGTCGTTACAGTGGTTCGTGTCGTGTCGTACTTCGTTAAGACCATGAAGTCTGGTTACATTGCAAAAGTCGGGTCCAGGACCTTAAATTATTTGAAAACGAATGCGACCTGACTCCTTAGTTTAGATTTGCATGTAGGACATAATTCCTTTCAGGATTGCAGTTCGGGATAGCAGACGCAGGACGCAAACGACGCAGGCTTCCTTCTCACTACGCCCGCTGCTTCCCTTCCGCTCACCGCGCGCGCTGCGTCCCTTCCGCTCACCGCGCGCGCTGCGTCCCTTCCGCTCACCGAGCGTGCTGCTTCCTTTGCAATCACACCGTTTGAATCGTAGTGCCCACCTTCGCCCCGCTGCTAAGGCCTGCTTGCAGCCAGCTCACGGCCGTCTTACTGCCAGCTCACAGCCATCTTACTGCCAGCTCACAGCCATCTTACTGCCAGCTCACAGCCATCTTACTGCCAGCTCACAGCCATTTTGCTGCCGGCTGACCGCCATGTAACTGCTTACTGCGCGCTGCTCGAATTGGATTCGATTAGATTTCGTTAGTGCAGGGGCGGCAGGAGTGAGGAGCGCTCGGCATGGCGGCGGTGGTGGCGCGGTCGGACGTGGAGGCGACGGTGCAGCTGCTGGGCGCGGACAAGGCCAAGCCGCGCGAGGTACGGCGGGTAGTGGGGGGGTGTGCTGGGAGGGTTGTGACGACGGGGGCTCTGCAAAGGGTTGTGATGGGGGGTTGGGTTTCTGGGATATCTCAAGAGGCGATGGATGGTGTCAGTTGCTGGGCGCGCGCGGACAGGGCCAAGCCGCGCGAGGTACGGCGGGTAGTAGGGGGGTGTGTTGGGAGGGTTGTGACGGCGGATGCTCTGCAAAGGTTTGTGATTGGGGGTTGGGTTTCTGGGATATCTCAAGAGGCGATGGAGGGTGTCAGCTGCTGCGCGCGGACAGGGCCAAACCGAGCGAGTGCGGGTAGTGGGGGGCTTGTGGGGCGTCTCATCAGTTGGGCCGGAGGGGCTTTTCATATCCCTCAAGAGGCGATGATGGCGCAGCTGCTGGGCGCGGACAGGGCCAAGCTGCGCGAGGTACGGCGGCAGGTAACGGGAGCTGCCAGGGGTTGTGATGCGGGGTATAATGGCGCCTCGGAAGGCGGTGGTTCAGCAAGTGGGGGCGGAGAGAGCCAAGCAGCACGGGGTACGGCAGGTGACAGGGGGGTGCTGCCAGGGGTTGTGATGCGGGGAATTAGGGCGCCTCAGAAGGCGGTGCGGTGGTTCAGCTAGTGGGGGCGGAGAGAGCCAATGAGCACAATGTACGGCAGGTGACAGGCAGCTGAACCTGGCGTTATCACGTTGGGCTATGTTGTGCGATGGATACGGTGTCAGCAGCCCCCGATGCTGCTGGTTTGAATTCATGCTCGTCTCCCGTACCTTTCTTCTGTGTTCTTATTTGTACACTGTGCTTCCCGTGCTGTGCTTCCCGTGCTGTGCTGGCAGGAGGGCTTTAAGAGGCTGCATCGCTACATGCACGACTCGTGCATGCTGTCCTTCTGCACCGCTCTGGACCGAGGTACTGGCAAGAGGGAACTACCCCGTCGCTCTAGTGCCCCATTGCGCCATTCCTGCATTTCCCCATTGCGCCATTCCTGCATTTCCCCATTGCGCCATTCCTGCGTTTCCCCATTGCGCCATTCCTGCATTTCCCCATTGCGCCATTCCTGCGTTTCCCCATTGCGCCATTCCTGCGTTTCCCCATTGCGCCATTCCTGCGTTTCCCCATTGCACCATTCCTGCGTTTCCCCATTGCACCATTGCGCCATTCCCCTATCCCCCCATACGTCCATTCTCCCATTCCTCTGTATGCTCCCTCGCCAAGTTCCCCCACTCACCCCCTCGCCTTTTTCCCACGGCCCTAGTGCCCCTGTCACCTCGTTGTTGCATGAGATGAGCTCTCTGGTGCACGCGCATCCAAAGGGACGTTTGGCACACACCACATTTTGCCATATTCTCCTGTTGTCCTGTTGCCATTTGCCCTGTTGTCCTGTCACCCTGTTTCCCTGCTGGCACACACAACAGAGGAGCTGTGGTGCACGGTGGTGGCAGCGCTGTGCACTGCAATCAACAGAGACGTGCTCGCCACAAACGCCACCCGCACGCGCCGCACCCACAGGCAGGAAGCAGCGAGAGAGCTGCGGAGGCTGATAGAGGCCGCCGATGAGAGAGGTGCGACGAGTGGGGGGGGGGAGAGGGAGTTGGAGGGGTTTGCGTGCAGAGGGGGTCGGGTGGGTGGATGCAGTGATTGAGGCACACACAGGGCAGGAACCTGCGAGGGAGCTGAGGAGCCTGGTAGAGGCCGCAGATGAGCGAGGTGCGATGAATGGCGGAAGGGGGTGGGGGGGTGTGATGGTGGGGTTTTGGTGCGGAGGGGGTCAGGAATGGGGATGCATCTGTCAGGGTTACTTTTGAGATTTCTCAAAAGGGCATCGAGATGCGTCTGTCAGGGATGCAGTGAGTGTGGTGCGTACAGCTGCCCGATTCACTGCCTCCACGCCCCCCTTCTTTTTCTCCCTTCCCTGCCTCCCCCAGTACCCCCACCCCCTCTAGGCGCCCACCCCTTGCGCCTAGCCAACAGGGTGCGCACGCTGTGTCAGCACATATCAACCACGCTGCCCATGGCGCCCTCCTTTCTCACCGACTACTGCCATGCTCTGCTCGCCGTGCTCGCCGTGCCCGACTATGCCCTCTGCATTGCCAACACCAAAACTATGCGAGGTGAGTTGAGTGCGGTGCTGCGCGGTGGGATGGGGGGCTGTGAGGTGAGATGAATGTGGTGCTGCTCGGTGCGATGAGGGGCTGAGAGGTGAGATGGGTGCTGCCGCTGCAAGGTAAACTCTATCTCTTTTCTTTTGACTGTGCCATACCGTCTAGTCTGAGAGGGCAACCTTGCACAACATATCACATACTCTTCCCCACTCACGTTTGTGCCCTGTGTGCTCTGTGAGTGTGCTGCAGAGCTGATCACATTCTTCATGAGCCGACTGGAGCTTGCAGTTGGCGCAGATCCCACCACCACAGGGACGCACCTCCTGCCAGCATCAGCATCAGCATCAGCATCAGCATCGCCTGCTGCTACTGCTGCAGCGCTCAATCAGCAGGCCTTCCACGCAGCTTCCTCCGTGCTGGCGCTGACTCGCTGTGCAGCGGGCGGCGCCTCCCTGAAGGTGCAGCAGAAGCACGACATGGCGGGCAGCTTCACCCGCATCTTCACTCACCTCAGGCAGGTTGCCTTTGCCTCCGTTCACGCACCTCCGGTGCGAGTGACTTTTGAGTATCCTAATAATCAGCAGCACATCATGGCTGCCAGCTTCACACACACACCTCAGGTGCCGTGCCAGTTCTGCTATTCACACCTCAGGTGCCGTGCCAGTTCTGCTATTCACACCTCAGGTGCCGTGCCAGTTCTGCTATTCACACCTCAGGTGCCGTGCCAGTTCTGCTATTCACACCTCAGGTGCCGTGCCAGTTCTGCTATTCACACCTCAGGTGCCGTGCCAGTTCTGCTATTCACACCTCAGGTGCCGTGCCAGTTCTGCTATTCACACCTCAGGTGCCGTGCCAGTTCTGCTATTCACACCTCAGGTGCCGTGCCAGTTATGCTATTCACACCTCAGGTGCCGTGCCAGTTCTGCTATTCACACCTCAGGTGCCGTGCCAGTTCTGCTATTCACACCTCAGGTGCCGTGCCAGTTCTGCTATTCACACCTCAGATGCCGTGCCAGTTCTGCTATTCACACCTCAGGTGCCGTGCCAGTTCTGCTATTCACACCTCAGGTGCCGTGCCAGTTCTGCTATTCACACCTCAGGTGCCGTGCCAGTTCTGCTATTCACACCTCAGGTGCCGTGCCAGTTCTGCTATTCACACCTCAGGTGCCGTGCCAGTTCTGCTATTCACACCTCAGGTGCCGTGCCAGTTCTGCTATTCACACCTCAGGTGCCGTGCCAGTTCTGCTATTCACACCTCAGGTGCCGTGCCAGTTCTGCTATTCACACCTTAGGTGCCGTGCCAGTTCTGCTATTCACACCTCAGGTGCCGTGCCAGTTCTGCTATTCACACCTCAGGTGCCGTGCCAGTTCTGCTATTCACACCTCAGGTGCCGTGCCAGTTCTGCTATTCACACCTCAGGTGCCGTGCCAGTTCTGCTATTCACACCTCAGGTGCCGTGCAGCTGCTGCTGCCCTTCTCCCGGATGCCGTCAGTCTGCAGTGCGTGCGTGCTACTGCTTCGCACAATGAGGGCCTCTGAGGGCCTCTGCCACCCACTACATGCACGCCAACAGGCCCTCCTTCCCTGCACTGCATCCTCTCTGCTCCGTTGTTCCGCCCTCCTTCCCGGCTCCATCGCCACTTTCCCGCCCACCAGTGATGACGGTCGGCTGGCGCGCAAGCTGCTCGCATGTGTGGCGGCCTTCCTCGCAGAGTACTGGGCAGGCCTCGCTGCAGCGGGGGAACTGGCGGGGATGCTGGCGTGTGAGGCGGGGCGGGCAGCCTTCCTTGCAGAGTGCGGGCGCACCGACAGGGCTGCGGCGCTTTCAGGGGCTTCGTGCCTCGCGCTGTGCCCTGCGGACAGACAGACAGACCACTGAATGTGCGCATTCTGCCCATTCCCCCACACCGCAGTGACGACGGTCGGCTGGCGCGCAAGCTGCTGGCATGCGGGGCGGCCTTCCTCGCAGAGTGTGGGGCGGGCCTCGCTGCAGCGGGGGAACTGACAGGACTGCTGGGCGCACTCAGGGGCTTTGTGGTGCGCACGTGGCACTGCACACGGGATGAGAATGTCATGGTGAGCCCAGACGCACAACTGCTGCATGTGATGGTTCGTGAGTTGACTCAAGATTCGCACTGGTGGGGCTACTGCTGGCTTTGCACAGGGGCCTTTAGGTCCGTACATGGCACTGCACAGTGCACACGCGAGGAGCATGTGATGGTGGCTGCTTCACTGGGTCCACTGGTTCCACTCCACGGGTGTGGCAACACATCATCCGAGGCTCTTCGGCGTGCTCTGCTGCACCGCTTCTTTTGCCAACGCATCTCTTTGACCCTCGCCCCTCGCCCGTCGCCCGTCGCCCCTCGTCCCTCACCCCTCGCCCTGCAGGAGGGCCTCATTCTCTCTGCGCGCATGCTCGTGCGCCTCACAGCGGGAGGGCAGCTGCATGACGGGGACGGGGAGGTGTGCGATGCGGATGATGGGGAGGAGGAGGGGTCACTGCAGGCGGCTGCACGGAGGGCGACAGGAGGGGGCGAGGGGAGCAGCAGGGAGGTGCAGAGCGAGGTGCTGTTGCTGGTGGTGAAGGAACTCTCTCGCTCTTCCACTGCTGCTGGGGGGACTGCTGGTGCCGCTGCCTCTGCCAGCCTTCTGCCAGGGTGCGTGGTGGGTGGGTGGCTGGGTTGGTGGCTGGATGGGCTGGTTGGTGCGAGGGTGGGTGGGTGTGGGTGGGACAGTGCGTGAGTGGGTGGGTGGGTGTGGGTGGGACAGTGCGTGAGTGGGTGGGTGGGTGGGTGGGTGGAGTGGTGAGTGCGTGCGTGCGTGTGTGTGTGCATGGGTGGCATGGTGGTTGTGGTCATGAACGTTTTTGACGCAGTTTAATGGATCCAGTCCGGGGTACACTGTACCGTATGGTGTGGCATGGAGTGACGCTGGGCTAGCCTCCCCTTGCAATGGGCAGCTTCTCTCCCTGTGCGTCTCACTGCTTCCCATGCACTGCGTGTCCTTCCTCCACTCCCCCCACCCTCGCTACTCTTCCCCTCTCCCCCACGAACCTGGCTGCAGTCTGGGCAGTGACACCAACGGCCAGATCCGGCCGCCTCAGCAGTGCTTAACGTCCCTCCCTCTCCCTGCCCCCCCTTACCCCTCCTCCTCCCCCTCCCCCTTCCCCTCCCCCCTCCCCCTCCCCCTCCCCCTCCCCTTTCCCTTTCCCCCGCCCCCTCGCCCTCCCCCTCCTCCTCAACCCTCAACCCCCGTCAACCCCCCCCCCCATCCCCTGCAGTCTAGACGTGCGGGCTGTGACAGCAGCGGCCAAGTCATCACTGCACGCATCATCCTCCGTGGCGCAATCCCATTGGCCCATCATGGACCTCGCCGCCTCACTCCTCTCCCAGGTGTCATTGCCTCCTCTCCTTCCCAGCAACCCCCCTTCTCCACCCATCATCTCTCTATCCTCCCCTCCCTTCCCCACCTCCTTTCGTGTCATACATTCACCTTCTCCCCGTCCCCCTTCTCCCTCGTACTCCCTTGCTCTCTTGTTCTCCTCTTCTTGAATGTTGCTTCTAACAGCGCTGCCGTGGTGGCTCTCGTTTTTCCCTCGTTTCCTTGTGTCACTTTTAACACCCTGAAACTGTGCCATTGTGTTTCTGCACTTGCTTGCTACCCATGCATGCAGCAACTGCACCACCTACCACCACCATCACCACAGTCACCGCCACCAGCAGCAGCACCACATTCTGCGGAGGAGGACGAAGACGGCCGCCCGGCAAAAAGGCAAAGGAGAGGCGTTGGCTCTGGCACAGTGGGCACGGCACCAGGCAGCAGCGTGGGAGTGGGTCCGCTGGCAAAGGCATATGAGGGCGGTTTCCGGGAAGGCGGCGGCGGTGGTGGTGGTGGCGCGAGTGGCTCCTCGGTGTGGGCTCAGATGGAGGAGCACATTGCACACGGCGCTGCCCCCTGGTGAGGCACTTCCCCTTTCATCTCCAACCCCCCAACCCTATACCTTAAACCCCAAACTTAAACCCCGCTCTGCTCCCATCACTCTTGCTCCCTTTCAAACTTTCCTTCTTCCACATCTTTCCACTCTCGTCCTCGCTTCTGCATTTCTTACCCCTCCCTCCATCATTCCACCCTCCTCCATCTCTCCCCTGTCCCTCCACCTCCCCTCCTTCCCTCCACCCCTTTCCCCCTCTCTCACCATCTCCAGGCTAACAGCCCTGCGTGTGCTGCTGTGCGACCATGATCATGCCATCTTGCCACACGCCTTGCATGAACCACGTGCTTGCCTCTCTATTTCAATCCCTTTGTCCTTCCCTACTCTCCCTCTCCTTCCCTCCATCTCTTCTCTCTACTCCCCCCCCTCACCACCTGCAGGCTAACAGCCCTGTGTGTGCTGCTGTGCGACCGCGGCCACTCCATCCTGCCACACGCCTTGCACCACTTGCTTGCCTTTCTGTTTGAATCCCGTTGTCCCTCTCTCCTCTCCCTCTCCCTCCTTCCATCTCTTCTCTCTCCCTTCATCGCTCCCCCTCTCACCATCTGCAGGCTAACAGCTCTGTGTGTGCTCCTGTGCGACCATGGCCACTCCATCCCACCACACGCCCTGCACCGCTGGCTTTCCCTCCTGCACACCCACTTCGCCAGGTGACCTGCTGCTGTCTCTCCATCTGCTGCCTTCCCATCTGCTGCCAAAGTGACCCTCGAGTCGATCAAACAAATGCACCTTGGCTTACTCTCCTGCACTCATGCGTTGAGAAGATCTGCTGCTTCCACCCGCTGCACCTATCATGCACTCACCTGTCATACCACTCATCGTTTTCCCCACCGTGTACTGCATCGTTCCTCTCCTCTCTGCTGCCTGGGTCGCCTGCCATGTTCTGCCGCTGCAACCGCACCGCACCTCTTCAACGCTTATACACGCCTCTGCCTGCACGTGCACATGCCCCCACCGGCCCCGGGTGCTTCTTGAGGCGCCTCAAATTCCCTGCCTGCCTGCGTGTGTACCTCTGTGTCCCTGGGGGAGCAGCCACGTGTAGTGAGGGTGTTTTTGAGACGTCTCAAAAACACCCTCTCTACCTTTGGGTTCTTGAGGCGCCTCAAATCCCCTGCCTGCTTATGTACCTGCGTGTCCCCTGGGGAGCAGGTGGATGCAGGATGCACGGCACAAGGGCTCGCTGCCAACACCCATCTGGGCGCTCAGGTGAGGCTCGGTGCTGTTCTGCCACCACCCGTTGTTTCTCTTCTCATGCAACTTTCACATCTGTCCGTCTGTCACCCTGTGATCCCACCGACGGCTGTCTTGTCTTGTTCCTGTCCCATTTTGTCCCTGTTCCTGTCACAGTCAGCAGCAGGGCTGAAGCCTGAAACAGATCCCTCCCTCTCTGCCCTAGCTCCTGCTCAGAGGCACAGGGCCTCTGCCATGCAACTATTACTGTCTGCCAGGAGTCCAGGACCCACCGCCGGTGGTGTGTGTGTGTGCTTGCAGGCACAGCCTGTCTCACGCACCCACTGAGATCTCATTTCCCACCGGCCATCAGGTGCCTGGAGCAGCTGTGCACGTTGCTCACCGCTCCTCAACCTCTGCATCACTCAAGCCAAGTTCCTCTCAGCAACAGCCCCGCACCAGCTTCACCACAGCACCCGCAGCACCCTCCGCAGCATCTGTCACTTGCTGCTCTGTGGCAGAGCGTGTGGGGCGAGGTCACTGCTGCTCTCCCTGCACTGCCTCATGCCGTGGTAATTGCTGCTCTGCCGCGCTACACCCAACCTGTCTCCTGCATCTGCAGTCGTCAAGCTTCCTGCTTCTTAGTGCGGCCCATTCTTCTCCGAGGTTCCCTCTCCTCTTCGGCCCTTGTCCCCCAGTTTCTGCTGCTGCCTCGCTGACTTTTGAAATGAAATCAAATCTACCACTTTGCCAGGTTGATTCTATTATAAGGCGCCTAAAAATCCTTCTGCTGTTGCTGTGCTGACAGCCGTGCTGACAGCTGTTGACTACGAGGGTCCAATCTCCAACTTGAGCCTTCCGTTCCGTTCCTCCCTTTGCCATCTCGCCAGGTGGAGCCATGCCTCTCGCTCCTTTCCACCTTACTGCAAGCAGTGAGTGCAGGTGCCATGCGCCATTTGCGTCCATGTATGAGTGAATGCCTGTGCATGTGCCATCCGTACAATGATGTAATTCATACGATGTATTGACGTACGTAAACGCAAGTGTCAACTGCTGCACTGTATGATGCTTTCCGTCTGCGTAATGACTAGAGAAAGACAACCGTGACACTGCGTCTTCATAGCCAGCCACTGCAGAACCAGTCAAATGAATCAATTCCCTGCAATGAATTTATCCATCCCCTTCTGTGTACTGCTATTGTCTTAACATAACGTGCACTGGCCCTTAAGAAGCCTCCCTCTAAATGAATATTTCCTTCTGTTCCGTGTATGCCTGCAACTCCCCACTTTTATCCCCCATGCCTCTCCACAGGGTGTTCTGCAGGACGTGACTCCTCCCAGGGAGCTGCTGGCACTGCCGCAATTCAAGGAGGGAGCAGTTCTCACGAGGTGAGCATAGACCTGGCGTTGCCGAACCCACCTATACCCTCTCAGATCTTTGCCTTTTGCCGCACTCTATGTTGCCTTTTCACGCTCCCTCACGCACGCCTCGTCCTTGGACTCCCACGCATGCCCATACCAGTGGTATGGATCTCTTGCTTCTGCTTTCTCCCTTGTTCCTCCCGACACCAGCGCAACTCTGCAGTTTGCGGTCGCACTTCTATCCAATACAACCTTCCAGGTACCTTGCTTTGCTTCTTGCATCGCCCGTACTTTGTTCCACTTCCCGTTTGCTTTCCCTGGTGGCCCATGCAGCTCTGCTCCGCCTCCCATCTTTTCTTTGTTTGTGTAGAGTCTTCGGGATGTTGTGAAGCAAATAAGAATAGATGATTTTATTAGCAAAAGGTGTGGTTTGCTTCACATTCTAGACAGACAGGACAAAAAGGAGGGTGGGTTGGGACTTTGAACCAGCATTATTTGCTCCACACGCCATTCAGTTAGCTTGGAAAATGAGTGGGGGGTCCAATAATCTCCCAAACCAACATCACCCAAGCAGCCTAGAATATATGGAGGAATTTCTGACCGTTTATCCAACCCACCCTCCACTCCACTCCACCTTCCCTCGCTTCTCCATGCCAGCGCCAGGAGGCAGCACTGCTGGCGCTGAATCCAGCTGCCACGTCACCGCTCAGCTCGGCACGAGTGGTATTGCTGCAGTGGCTGCTTGCAGGCATGGAAAACGAGGTGGGTGGGCAGCTGCTGTGCGGTGAAGTGAGGTGAGGTAAGGTGAGGTGGTAATGGGATCAGAATGCTGGTGCGTCGTTCCTTCCTGGTCCACATCCTGGTGCTCTCCGTTCTTCCCGCACTTCATCCGCATTCACACATCGGCAATTCATGCGTTCCCCCAAACTCCAACCCCCAGCCTTTCTTCTGTATTCCCCCCCCCCCCACCCCATTGAATATTTTGTTGGCGCTTCAAAAGACCATCCATTGCGCTGCCCTGTTTGCCATCCACCCCTTCACCAGGCTCACGGCCCGTCCCACTCCAGAGACTCCGAGCCCTCTCACCCCATCACCCTGCGCACCGCTCTGCACCGCACTCACCGTCCACCAGAACCATCTCTACTTGCAGCTGCCCTGTGCGCAGCAGTGACAGGCGAGTCACCCTGCACCCGCATATCCGCTCCTGCAACAGCAGCTGCCGCCGCTGCTGCCGCCTCTCTTGCTGCTGCGCCTGGCGCCGCTGCTGCCTCGTCCCGCCCTTCCCAGTGCCCCGTGCCCACCTCCTTCCACCAAGACTGGTGGTTCCCTGTAAGCTCTTGGCGCGTGCATGGGATGGTTTGGCCCTTGTGTTTGCGTTCGAGATGTGGTGTGAAGGAAGGGAGAGAGGGAGACTTGCTTGAGGACACAAGTGAGGGTTCCTGTCCATGTGTCGACAAGTGAGGGTTCCTGTCCATGTGTCGACAAGTGAGGGTTCCTGTCCATGTGGCGGCAAGTGAGGGTTCCTGTCGAGCTGCTGGCTTTCTTTCTGTCTCCCTGCCCGCATGCTGTGCATCTCTCTGCCTGAACCATGTGTGTATCCCTGCCTACACCTGTGCGTCCCTCCCTCCCGTGCCTCTTCCCCATGTGTGTTCCGCCCTTCCCATCAGCTGCACGAAGACGGGCGGGACATGGAGCCAGCTCTCCCTCGCCTCGACCGCAGTCCTCACTGCCTCGTTGCAGCAGCTGCAGGGGCAGCTGGACCTGCAGCATGCGCCCCTCACACTGCCTTGTGGCAAGGCGTGCCACTGTCTGCTGCTGCTGTCCCTCCGACTTCGTCCCCCCCGCCATGGGTTGCAGCCTGCCAGGTATCGCCAGGGGAAGGTGGTGCAAGTAAAGTGTGTTACATGTGCGAAATACAGAAGGAAGGCGGTCCATGCAAGCACCTCTGAAATGTCGGCTCTTCGCCATGCCAAATATTTGTTGCCTCGTCACTCTCTCAAATCAAAGTACCCCCACTCGCTCCTCTAGTTTTTCTCAAAAAGGTCAGGCTGTAACACTCAGGCACAGTGCTGCTGCAGAAAATCCCGAATGATACTTGCTGTTCCTCTTCTTCTTATTCTGCAGCAGCTCCTTCTTACCTTTCTCATCCTCTCCTCCCGCCCCTCCCCTTCCTCCTCCCTCACACGTGCAGCAGCACCAGGACAAGCACACACCTCCTTCTCTCGCCTCCTTCTCCCACTCCCCACCCTCAACCGCCCTCACGCTCTCCCGCTCGCTGCTCGACTCTTCCCGCGTTCTGCCGCTCTCCCAAGCAGCCCTCTCCTCGCTCGCCGCGCTCACCTGCCCGCCAACCAGTGCAGCCAGAGAGGGTGACGGAGGGGCAGATGCGGTGGGAGGAGGGGTGGGGGGAGGGGTGGGCGGAGGGGTGGGGGGTGAAGGAGCAGATGGTTGGGGGAGAGGGTCAGGAGGAGGAGGGGAAAGGGAGTGGCTGGAGGGTAGGGGTTCAGCTGGCAGCTCTGGGGAGGGTACTGGGGGTGGGGGTGGGATGATAAGCAGCGGTGGTGGTGGTGGTGTTGGTGGTGGAGGCATGGGTGCGAGCAGTCTGTGGGTGGCGGTGGTGGGGCTGCACTGCTGTCGCCTGCTCTCCCGCTGCTCCTTCACCAGGTCGCTTCACTCGCCCGCCCGCGCACATTCATTAAGTGAACGCCATGACTCAACGTTTTTGAGTCGACTCAAAAGCGCCATGACTCGACGTTTCCTCGCGTCCGTGTGCCCCAAGTGCTCAGCTTGAAGCATCTGTGCCAGGGGCCAAGAGGAACTAACGTCTCAGACTGGCGTTGGTCTCACATTTCCCTGTGCAGCGTTGTTGTCCCTTTTCTGCACTCTGTTCTTCCTCCCCACTCCTAGGAAAGCAATGGTATTTAATCGACAGTGTTCTCAGTGTGTGCACAGCATTCTCTCTCCTCACCCCTCACCTGCAGAACCCTCCCCTCGGACCTCCTCCCAGGGGGTCTTTTGGAAAAGCAGAGTCTCCAGTCAGCTGTGGCAGCTCTCGCACCTCCGCCATCCATCACTCCCACCACCTCTCTGGAGCTTCCCTCCCTCCCACTCATCCACGACCTCCTCTTCATCCTCCCACTCACCCCCGCCGCCCTCCCTCTCCTCTCCGCCATGCTTCGCCTCGCCACCACCTCCTATACCACCGTGGCCGAAGCAGCCGCTACAGCTGCCGCTACAGCAGTAGGAGCGGGAGGCGGAGCGACAGGGGGTGGTGAAGCGGCAGTGTCGACGCTCTCACTGCCTCCAGCCTCTGCTGTCACCTTTGCCGCGAGGAGTCGCTTGGACGACGATTTTGACGACGACTGGGAGTTTCAGCAGCCGTCTGCTGCCACGAGTGGGCTGCACGGCGGGCACAGTGGGCTGCAAGCTGCTGGCGGAAGGGGCGGGAGAGGCGGGGCAAGAGGAAGATTGGGAGGGATGATGGGTTCGAGATCAGGCGCAGTTGTGCCCAGCTTTCAGTCTCAGTTCCAGCAGCAGCAGGTGATAGAGCTAGACGAGGAGGGTGGGGAGGGGGAGGAGACTCGGATCTTTGACAATGACTTGGATGCGCCTGGAGTGCTGCCGTCCCAGGCTCCCCTGGTGCGCAGCAGACACACACAGAGTGTTGCGGGCAATGCCGCTGCTTCCAGTGCTGCTCGTGCTGCACTTGCTGTTGCTGGTGCTGGTGCTGGTGGTGGTGCTGGTGGTGGCAGTGCAACAGCAGCGGAGGTGGCAGAGGGAGCGGTGTGGATGGTGGGGTGTGTGGCCGAGTTCATTCCAGCAGTGGCATGCAGAGAGGTGGCGTCGCTGCTGCAGCTCAATGAAGGCTCCGAGGTGCGTGCTGGGTACTGGGCGGTGGGCATGGGCAGTGGGCAGTGGGCACAAGGGAAGGGTGAGGGGCAGCAGCGACAAGGTGGATGCTGAATCTGTCGCTTGTCCCTCCCTTGCTTGTCCCTCCCTTGCAAACACCACCCAACCCCCCTTCGCCCTCTCTTACTCCACTTCCCACTCACTTAACTCTCCTCGTCACTGTTTCCCAAGCTCCCTTTCTTTTATTTGTGCTTTTCCGCACATTGATCCACACTGCCCCTCCCCCGTCTCCTGCTCTCTGCTGTTTTGCGCCCGTCACCCTGCCCTCCCTTCCCTTGTACCACCATCAACCCCCCCTCCCCCTCCGCCAGTGCTACTGGCAGTTGCTCTCCGTGCTTGCATCGCATGCCGAACTATTGATTGCACTCGAGCCTGTGGTAAGGCCTCAGTTGTTCGATCACCTTTCTAGTCGACTAAATGTATGCGAACCGTCAATCAATCACACTCGAGCCTGTGGTGTAACCGCACTGCTTTGGATTTGATTGCATTGCATGCAGCACTCTGGTTTTAACAGCGCTCATAACTGAGACATGTCGTCACAAGCACGAAGCATTGCCATGGCAGTCCCAGTTATTAGTAAAAGGCACGGTGGTCTCCATGTCCACCCGATTTGATTCCTTGCGTTTCTGTTTTCCATCAGCTTTTCGCATGCCTCACGTGGGACACCGCGCTCCTGTCCCCACCCCACCCACCCCCCCCACCCACCCTAAACCCTTAACCCTGCCACGCCTTGGAAGAGATTACACTTTGTGATGCCAAGCTTGAGTGCATGCATGGCAGCGTCAGCATGTGAGGGGCACCGTTCTTGTCGCTTCTACCACCCATTTCACTTACCCCAATTCACCCCCGTTATCCCCTCTCCCCCCTCCCAGCTAGCAGCTCTGGAGGCCCATGCATCCACCGCACTGCACTCCCACCAGCAGCACCTCCTTCACCTCACAGCCACTGCCGCCCGCCACCAAACCACCCCCTTCATTCTCCCATTTGAAACCCCTGTTCCCTCTTCTCCCTCGCAGCTTACAGCTCTGGAGTCCCATGCATCCACCGAAGTGCACGCCCACCAGCAGCACCTCCTTCACCTCACAGCCATAACTGCCCGCCGCCTTGCAGCGCACAGGGACGGCACCTTGCGGCCCCCCCTGCTCCGATATGAAGGCGTAAAGGGTTTGGGGGAAGTGGAGGAGGGGATGGAGGGCGTGGGGAGCGTGGTGGCGTGGGCAGAGGCGGGGGACACCGCAACTGCGAGCGACACAGATGTGAATCAGGTGAGAGGTGGAGGTTAGAGGTGGAGGTGACATGTGTAGAAGGTGAGATGTGGAGTTCAGAGGGAGTTCCTAGAGTTCCCAGGCACAAAAAACACATCCTGCATGGTTGAGAGACCCCAGAGAGTTCCCAAGCAGGCATCTCATCTCTATTTTCATAACATGCTTCAGCTTGAGGTGCTGTCGTGAAGCTGGGCTGGAGTGGGGATGCTGAAACCTGTGTTGCGCGTGCCTCCCTCTCCTCTCCTCTCTCCCCTCTCCAAAGGCGCAGCTGGTGATGCAGGCGGCAGGCGGCACTTCTCCCCATGTTGGACAGCAAGCCCCTGGCCAACCCAGCTGCTGCTGATGGTCATGCCTGAAAGTCTTGTCTTGTCTTGTGTGCTTCCATCTCCGCTCCGTTATTCCCCATCCACAGGCGCAGCAGGTGATGCAAGCGGCACTTCTCCCCGTGCTTGGCAGCAAGCTGCCCACCCCAGCTGTGCGCATCCACCTTGCACATGCGCTCCTCGCACTCCTTCTCAGCGACTCTGTACGTGTCTGCTTCACTCCGCTGCCATTCCATGTGTCTGAAAGGAGGTGACTTTTGAGACGGCTCAAAAGTCTTTCTCAATTCTGTAGGTGTCTCCTGCACTCCACTTCCACTCCACTTCCAAAGCTCCTCCCTCCCATGTTCTCATATCGCCTCTCCTCGCTGCTGTTCGCTTTGCCCCTCTGGCTGTTTCGTTTCGATTCGATGAAGTTTGAAAAGCACCTCTCGTGTTGTATTCCCATGGAGAATGATTCTGTGCTTTGTTCAGCTTCGTCATTCTTTTCCATTTCAAATCTGGGTTTCTTAGTCATAATACGCTCAAATATGTTTTAAACGAAAGTTATAGTGCACAGTCGGATTTCTGCACAGCGGCTCAAAAATATTTCTAGTGTTTTGGTTACAACACCAAATGATTCGCTATAAATTAGATCAGGAGCGCCTTGATGTCGTCTACAATAAGCACTCGATTTGATAGAAGATTGACGACGTGACAGTAGTTTAAGCAAACGGCAGTATGCCATGGCAACAGCAACTACAGTCTTAGGGCACTGATTTTGAACAAGTTTGAGTTGGGATTGACCTCAGCCTCTACAAATCGCAAGAGTCATGGTCCAGGGAGATGGAACAGTGCCACACAGTTCCAAACCTTGAAGGGTCTCGGATCTATCTACCAGGCCTACACCAAGAGAAGTGTTGCACTATGCAATGCAATGCACTATTTTCTTTCTCTTGATGTTTACCTGTTTGACGAGCTCCAAAATCACTTGAACCTTAAAACCAAAGCTATGGAAACTTGATGTATAGACATGCGACACGTCAAACGTTCGACACACGACAAAACAGAATACACACATGCACTCAAACGACGTGGCACACGCCTAGCGAAAACTCGCTATTGACTCAACACACATATTCGACATCATGACTCATCATTCACACACTCATATAAGTATAAAATATATTATATTACCTCATGCTTTCATACCATTGCATGCAAACACGCACGCGCAAGGACAACAAGCAGAGTGCAAACCATGGGGTTGCACCAACATTTTCTACATCTCCTGCTTTCTCCATCTTTCATTTCTTTATCTGCACTACTCAGGACATCTTTGACCCGTTCTTAGCTCTGCTTCACGACCGGGACTACGGGGTGCGGCTGCACATGGCTCAGCTGCTGCCCGCACTCTTCCTCAAATGGGAGGACCACCCCACGTTGCTTGCTGACACTCTGTGAGTCCGCTTGTCGGAACTTTCACTTGAGATGAAAGCCCAACTAGAATCCGCTGCTCGCTGATATTTATGCAAGAAAATTGACTTGGTCTTCCTCTTGTGAGAGGACCACCCCGCCATGCTCGCTGCCACGCTGTTAATCTGTCTGGGGGTACCTCCTTCCTTCCCCCTCTGTGTGGAATCCGGCACTTTGGCACTCAGCGTACGCTCCGCTCCACCACATGCTGTTTCTTCATCCGCCAACCAGTCGTCATCACCTTCCATTTTGTACCTCGTATTGTGCGCAAGGGAGTGAGCAACTGACAGTCTGACACAGCCATAGTGTGGGTTAGTGCGACCGTTGCCTTTGGATGGATGGTGGCAAGAACACGGGTGATCCAAGCTGCTGACTTTTGAGTCGGCTCAAAAGTCACCTAGTGTGGGTGCGACCGTTGCCTTTGGATGGATGGATGCCACCCGTGGCAAGAGCAGGGCTGATCCAAGCTGGTTCAGGTCAAGCCGGGTCAAGCCCCGCCCTCTGAGGACAGGTGGCAAGAAACCCTCATATGAATGACCCGGGCATCCCGCCTGCAAGCAACCCACCCCATTTTCTCCTACCAACTCAAACTGATTGCAGGAAAAACTTGAAGACGCTGTCGCTCGGGCCCGCACCCACCCTCTCCATCTCCACGCTCCACCTGCCCTCCACCACCACCGCCACCACCACCAGCAGCACTCCTACCTCCACCCCCGCTTCCAGCCCTGCCGCCCGCCGTGGCTTGCCTCTGCTGGCAGGTCCTGCAGGAAAGGGCGCTCTCTTGGGGCTCATGCACAGTAGAGGAGGAGGTAGGGGTGGAGATGGAGGAAAGGGAGGCAGTGGAGGAGAGGTAGGGGAAGAGGGAGGTGGAGAGGGAAGGGGAGAGGGAGGAGCAGGAGGGAGTGGAGGGTCAGAGGAGGAGAGAGTGAGGAGGGAGGTGGGGCGAGTGGAGAGGGCGAGGGTGGAGACGAGTGTGTTGCTGCTGGGGAGGATAGCGGAGAGCAGCGACCTGGTGGAGGAAGAGGTGAGCTGCAAGCAACCCTTCTTCTCTCTGTCCGCTCACAGCTTCACAGCTTCCTTTCCTGCCCTGCCATACCATACCATAACCATGCTGCTGGGGAGGATAGCGGAGAGCAGCGACCTCGTGGAGGAAGAGGTGAGCTGCATGCAACGGTCATTCTGTCTCTACACTCACTGCAGCTCCAGAGCTTCCTTTTCGCCCTTCCATACCGTACCATGATCATGCTGCTGGGGCGTATAGAGCAATGTGGACAGGTGGAGGAGGACGAGTAAGGGAGGACCTGGTGGAGGACGAGGTAAGCTGCAAGCAGGCCTTATTCTGTGAATACTCACAAAGAATAGGGACGGAACGCAAGTCCTCGTTCAAATCAGCTTCCATCCCTGCCATGTGCAACGTGCACTGATCTGAATGGCGAGTTGCGCTCTGTCCCTATTGTGGTTGTCACTGGGCTGTGCTGTGCTGCATTCATCTGCCAGCCATGGGTGTAATCTATGCCTCGTTTCTCTCTGCTGTGTTGTGTTGTGCTCTGCCTGCCCCCCTCCTCTCAATCAGGTCGTATTCCTCATCGTTGCAGCGGCCGCCCTCCGCCTTGTTCGCATGTAAGCTCGTTGCTTGTTTTGTATTACAGATAATTATGTTCGCAAATCTGCACATCGGTTGCTCACTCCTGTTCCGTGCTATGATTGAGCGATTAGCTTGACCAAGAGAAGCCATGCAACCTTGTTGTCCCTTGCAACATCGTGCTCCCTAAGGATCTGCTACAAAACTCCTCACTTCATTCAAATCATTGCGTTTCTCTCCCTTACTCGGACCCCCCTTCCCTTACAGCAATGTGGCAGCTGCAGTCCTCACGACTGCTGCTGCATCGCTGGGCTACCCGAGTCTGAACCAGGTCAGCCCGAGTCTGAGCCAGGTCAGCCCGAGTCTGAGCCAGGTCAGCCCGAGTCTGAGCCAGGTCAGCCCGAGTCTGAGCCAGGTCAGCCCGAGTCTGAGCCAGGTCAGCCCGAGTCTGAGCCAGGTCAGCCCGAGTCTGAGCCAGGTCAGCCCGAGTCTGAGCCAGGTCAGCCCGAGTCTGAGCCAGGTCAGCTCGAGTCTGAGCCAGGTCAGCCCGAGTCTGAGCCAGGTCAGCCCGAGTCTGAGCCAGGTCAGCCCGAGTCTGAGCCAGGTCAGCCCGAGTCTGAGCCAGGTCAGCCCGAGTCTGAGCCAGGTCAGCCCGAGTCTGAGCCAGGTCAGCCCGAGTCTGAGCCAGGTCAGCCCGAGTCTGAGCCAGGTCAGCCCGAGTCTGAGCCACGTCAGCCCGAGTCTGAGCCAGGTCAGCCCGAGTCTGAGCCAGGTCAGCCGGAGTGAGCCAGGTCAGCCCGAGTCTGAGCCAGGTCAGCCCGAGTCTGAGCCAGGTCAGCCCGAGTCTGAGCCAGTTCAGCCCGAGTCTGAGTTAGGTCAGCAGCCCCCCTTAGCCAGTCTCTGCTCCTTTTTCAGCCACTATCTGAGCCATGTATTCTGGATAATGCGTTGAGACTTGCAGGTTGCAACTCTTCACGTGTCAGTTTGGTGCTCATAGCCGTTCTGATGACCCTCCATTGTTTTCCCTCCACCCATCGTGCTTCTTCTTCCCATTACCCCACTTCCTCTCCCCCTTTTCAGTACCTGGACATTCTCCTGCCCTCTGTGGCCATGCGCTGGGTTGCAGCAGACGCCTTGCTGCTGCCTCTGCCCGCCCTCGCACAGGTGACCTCAAGCCCTGCCACTCCGCTCGCCCAACTCCATTCATGCCACTCCGCTCGCCCAACTCCATTCATGCCACTCCGCTCGCCCAACTCCATTCATGCCACTCCGCTCGCCCAACTCCATTCATGCCACTCCGCTCGCCCAACTCCATTCATGCCACTCCGCTCGCCCAACTCCATTCATGCCACTCCGCTCGCCCAACTCCATTCATGCCACTCCGCTCGCCCAACTCCATTCATGCCACTCCGCTCGCCCAACTCCATTCATGCCACTCCGCTCGCCCAACTCCATTCATGCCACTCCGCTCGCCCAACTCCATTCATGCCACTCCGCTCGCCCAACTCCATTCATGCCACTCCGCTCGCCCAACTCCATTCATGCCACTCCGCTCGCCCAACTCCATTCATGCCACTCCGCTCGCCCAACTCCATTCATGCCACTCCGCTCGCCCAACTCCATTCATGCCACTCCGCTCGCCCAACTCCATTCATGCCACTCCGCTCGCCCAACTCCATTCATGCCACTCCGCTCGCCCAACTCCATTCATGCCACTCCGCTCGCCCAACTCCATTCATGCCACTCCGCTCGCCCAACTCCATTCATGCCACTCCGCTCGCCCAACTCCATTCATGCCACTCCGCTCGCCCAACTCCATTCATGCCACTCCGCTCGCCCAACTCCATTCATGCCACTCCGCTCGCCCAACTCCATTCATGCCACTCCGCTCGCCCAACTCCATTCATGCCACTCCGCTCGCCCAACTCCATTCATGCCACTCCGCTCGCCCAACTCCATTCATGCCACTCCGCTCGCCCAACTCCATTCATGCCACTCCGCTCGCCCAACTCCATTCATGCCACTCCGCTCGCCCAACTCCATTCATGCCACTCCGCTCGCCCAACTCCATTCATGCCACTCCGCTCGCCCAACTCCATTCATGCCACTCCGCTCGCCCAACTCCATTCATGCCACTCCGCTCGCCCAACTCCATTCATGCCACTCCGCTCGCCCAACTCCATTCATGCCACTCCGCTCGCCCAACTCCATTCATGCCACTCCGCTCGCCCAACTCCATTCATGCCACTCCGCTCGCCCAACTCCATTCATGCCACTCCGCTCGCCCAACTCCATTCATGCCACTCCGCTCGCCCAACTCCATTCATGCCACTCCGCTCGCCCAACTCCATTCATGCCACTCCGCTCGCCCAACTCCATTCATGCCACTCCGCTCGCCCAACTCCATTCATGCCACTCCGCTCGCCCAACTCCATTCATGCCACTCCGCTCGCCCAACTCCATTCATGCCACTCCGCTCGCCCAACTCCATTCATGCCACTCCGCTCGCCCAACTCCATTCATGCCACTCCGCTCGCCCAACTCCATTCATGCCACTCCGCTCGCCCAACTCCATTCATGCCACTCCGCTCGCCCAACTCCATTCATGCCACTCCGCTCGCCCAACTCCATTCATGCCACTCCGCTCGCCCAACTCCATTCATGCCACTCCGCTCGCCCAACTCCATTCATGCCACTCCGCTCGCCCAACTCCATTCATGCCACTCCGCTCGCCCAACTCCATTCATGCCACTCCGCTCGCCCAACTCCATTCATGCCACTCCGCTCGCCCAACTCCATTCATGCCACTCCGCTCGCCCAACTCCATTCATGCCACTCCGCTCGCCCAACTCCATTCATGCCACTCCGCTCGCCCAACTCCATTCATGCCACTCCGCTCGCCCAACTCCATTCATGCCACTCCGCTCGCCCAACTCCATTCATGCCACTCCGCTCGCCCAACTCCATTCATGCCACTCCGCTCGCCCAACTCCATTCATGCCACTCCGCTCGCCCAACTCCATTCATGCCACTCCGCTCGCCCAACTCCATTCATGCCACTCCGCTCGCCCAACTCCATTCATGCCACTCCGCTCGCCCAACTCCATTCATGCCACTCCGCTCGCCCAACTCCATTCATGCCACTCCGCTCGCCCAACTCCATTCATGCCACTCCGCTCGCCCAACTCCATTCATGCCACTCCGCTCGCCCAACTCCATTCATGCCACTCCGCTCGCCCAACTCCATTCATGCCACTCCGCTCGCCCAACTCCATTCATGCCACTCCGCTCGCCCAACTCCATTCATGCCACTCCGCTCGCCCAACTCCATTCATGCCACTCCGCTCGCCCACTCCATTCATGCCACTCCGCTCGCCCAACTCCATTCATGCCACTCCGCTCGCCCAACTCCATTCATGCCACTCCGCTCGCCCAACTCCATTCATGCCACTCCGCTCGCCCAACTCCATCATGCCACTCCGCTCGCCCAACTCCATTCATGCCACTCCGCTCGCCCAACTCCATTCATGCCACTCCGCTCGCCCAACTCCATTCATGCCACTCTCCGCTCGCCCAACTCCATTCATGCCACTCCGCTCGCCCAACTCCATTCATGCCACTCCGCTCGCCCAACTCCATTCATGCCACTCCGCTCGCCCCAACTCCATTCATGCCACTCCGCTCGCCCAACTCCATTCATGCCACTCCGCTCGCCCAACTCCATTCATGCCACTCCGCTCGCCCAACTCCATTCATGCCACTCCGCTCGCCCAACTCCATTCATGCCACTCCGCTCGCCCAACTCCATTCATGCCACTCCGCTCGCCCAACTCCATTCATGCCACTCCGCTCGCCCAACTCCATTCATGCCACTCCGCTCGCCCAACTCCATTCATGCCACTCCGCTCGCCCAACTCCATTCATGCCACTCCGCTCGCCCAACTCCATTCATGCCACTCCGCTCGCCCAACTCCATTCATGCCACTCCGCTCGCCCAACTCCATTCATGCCACTCCGCTCGCCCAACTCCATTCATGCCACTCCGCTCGCCCAACTCCATTCATGCCACTCCGCTCGCCCAACTCCATTCATGCCACTCCGCTCGCCCAACTCCATTCATGCCACTCCGCTCGCCCAACTCCATTCATGCCACTCCGCTCGCCCAACTCCATTCATGCCACTCCGCTCGCCCAACTCCATTCATGCCACTCCGCTCGCCCAACTCCATTCATGCCACTCCGCTCGCCCAACTCCATTCATGCCACTCCGCTCGCCCAACTCCATTCATGCCACTCCGCTCGCCCAACTCCATTCATGCCACTCCGCTCGCCCAACTCCATTCATGCCACTCCGCTCGCCCAACTCCATTCATGCCACTCCGCTCGCCCAACTCCATTCATGCCACTCCGCTCGCCCAACTCCATTCATGCCACTCCGCTCGCCCAACTCCATTCATGCCACTCCGCTCGCCCAACTCCATTCATGCCACTCCGCTCGCCCAACTCCATTCATGCCACTCCGCTCGCCCAACTCCATTCATGCCACTCCGCTCGCCCAACTCCATTCATGCCACTCCGCTCGCCCAACTCCATTCATGCCACTCCGCTCGCCCAACTCCATTCATGCCACTCCGCTCGCCCAACTCCATTCATGCCACTCCGCTCGCCCAACTCCATTCATGCCACTCCGCTCGCCCAACTCCATTCATGCCACTCCGCTCGCCCAACTCCATTCATGCCACTCCGCTCGCCCAACTCCATTCATGCCACTCCGCTCGCCCAACTCCATTCATGCCACTCCGCTCGCCCAACTCCATTCATGCCACTCCGCTCGCCCAACTCCATTCATGCCACTCCGCTCGCCCAACTCCATTCATGCCACTCCGCTCGCCCAACTCCATTCATGCCACTCCGCTCGCCCAACTCCATTCATGCCACTCCGCTCGCCCAACTCCATTCATGCCACTCCGCTCGCCCAACTCCATTCATGCCACTCCGCTCGCCCAACTCCATTCATGCCACTCCGCTCGCCCAACTCCATTCATGCCACTCCGCTCGCCCAACTCCATTCATGCCACTCCGCTCGCCCAACTCCATTCATGCCACTCCGCTCGCCCAACTCCATTCATGCCACTCCGCTCGCCCAACTCCATTCATGCCACTCCGCTCGCCCAACTCCATTCATGCCACTCCGCTCGCCCAACTCCATTCATGCCACTCCGCTCGCCCAACTCCATTCATGCCACTCCGCTCGCCCAACTCCATTCATGCCACTCCGCTCGCCCAACTCCATTCATGCCACTCCGCTCGCCCAACTCCATTCATGCCACTCCGCTCGCCCAACTCCATTCATGCCACTCCGCTCGCCCAACTCCATTCATGCCACTCCGCTCGCCCAACTCCATTCATGCCACTCCGCTCGCCCAACTCCATTCATGCCACTCCGCTCGCCCAACTCCATTCATGCCACTCCGCTCGCCCAACTCCATTCATGCCACTCCGCTCGCCCAACTCCATTCATGCCACTCCGCTCGCCCAACTCCATTCATGCCACTCCGCTCGCCCAACTCCATTCATGCCACTCCGCTCGCCCAACTCCATTCATGCCACTCCGCTCGCCCAACTCCATTCATGCCACTCCGCTCGCCCAACTCCATTCATGCCACTCCGCTCGCCCAACTCCATTCATGCCACTCCGCTCGCCCAACTCCATTCATGCCACTCCGCTCGCCCAACTCCATTCATGCCACTCCTCCCCCCGTTCCCCCCTTCCCCCCCCAGCAAACTTATTAAAACTGAGAAATATATGTGTCTGTGCGTGCATGCATGCCTGTGTGTGGTCACCACTGTGCAAGCAGGTGGTGGTGGCGTTGGAGCAAGCAGTTGATGTTGGCAGCGGGGTGGGCAAGGGGGCGGGCACAGGAGGGGCAGGCTGCTGGGCGGCGGGTGATGGGAGGCAGGGAGGAGAGGGGGGAGATGAAGCAGGGTTTGACGTAGCAGGAGTGGGGGGTGCAGGAACGGTACCAGCGGGAGTGGGGAGCCCAGGAGCACTTGCGAGGGTGTGGAAGAAACTTGCCCCGCTGGTGCTGCCTGCGCTGCTGCTGCTGGGGAGGGAGGGCGACGTGCAGTGGCTGGCAGAGGTGAGTGAGAGAGCTCGACTCTCACAGTTGGTGGGCGTGCAGGAAGATGAGCAGCGATGTCAGCGTCGGGGAAATGCAGAAGGATCACTTGAAAAGTTTCCGATGCATAAAGCAGCGGGCTTTTACCGTTTTTGTCATTCCGTGTTATGTTAGTGAACTTGTCCCCTTCATTTCTTGTTTCTCCGGAATTCATCATTCATCCCCCCCACCCCACTGCCCCATCTCGCCGCTCCTTCCTTCCTTCCACTCGCCAAGGCCTCCAGGCGTCTTTCCATCGGGCCTAGCATCGTCAAGGGCGACTTTCCCCCATGTGCTTCTCCCCACCCACCTTCCCTCCCCCCTCACTCATGCCACCCGCCAGGCTCTCCAGGCGCCCGTCCCTCGGCTCCTCAAGGAGTCCTTCCCACACGTGGTCGCCGCGCTGCTGCCGTTCCGCCAATCAGAGCTTGACACGTGGCAGAAGGAGGCTGCGACACGCGTGCTCACAACAGGCCTGCTGGCCGCGGCGGGGTGGAGTGAGGTGGAAAGGGATCAGCTGCTGACCAAGCACATGGTCAGTCCCTGCCCATCCGTCCAAAACCCTACATACGAAACACATGATCCTGGTTCCTCTGAATTGATTAGCTTGCCACTTTGACAGTAGATAATCTTTCCAGCAGTAGCTGAGCTTCTGAGCTTCTGCTACAAGGCAAATGTGTGCCTGAGGCTGATCTCACGCGTTCAGTACCGAACCGAGTGCCCTCATCTCTGAGCCTCCTCATCTGCCCTCACTTGGATGCACCGCCCTTCCCTTCCCAGGTGGCCATCGTCACCTGTCTGCTCTGCTGTGCCGGTGCCACATGCCCAGCGCAGCGCCTCAGAATCGAGACGATGATTCAAGGCTTTTAAGGACATATCCTCAAGCTCTTCCTGCCCTCACTCGGAGTGACTCCCACCGTACTTCCCAGGTGCCCATCATCAACAACAGCCTGCTGCAGCACACGTCCTCCCTGCAGCACCCATTGAATCTTCAGGCGTTTATACTAAGAGTCACTCGAACTCCCCATCTGCCCCCACTTGCCATGCCATTCCTTCCCCAGGTGCCCATCATCAGCTGTCTGCTGCACCACACGTCCTCCCAGCAGCGCCCGGCGCTGCCCTCCTTCCCCACCGCCTGCATCCGCGCCACCATCTGCAGCCTGGTCGACAGCAGCACTGCTGACTCGCGCGCCACCAGCAGCAGGTAGAGGCGGGCGATCATTGTATGGGTAGAGTAAATGAATGGGTTCGTTCTTTCCTTGTAGGACCGCAAAGCAGTAGTGATGCATTGCAGCTGCATAGCACGAACATGTTTCATCCACAGCGCCTCAACTTGCATCATCCTTTGTTTTTTCTCTCGCGCCATGTACTGCACTCTGTGTGTGTGCGCGCCATGTACTGCACTCTGTGTGTGTGCGCGCCATGTACTGCACTCTGTGTGTGTGGTGCCAATCTGTGTGCTCCATGTGTTTGTGTGTGCATGCATCCCATGCCTGCAACATTGGTATCAGCGCACTGCCGTCCGCGCCTCCATCCTTGTCAGACCACCTCAACATTCTGCGCCCGGCCAACGTCTTCCCAGTGAGTCCGCGCCTCAACATCCTTGACAGTTTCTTCTCATCCTCATCACATTGAAGGATCCTCGTGCGCACGCCCCTAAGCTTCCTCTTTCTACCCCTTCGTTTCCGTTCCTCTCCCTTCCCTCACCTCTCTCACTCACCCTTTCTCACCTCTCCTGTTTCCCTTATCTTATCCTGCCCGAGTGACCTACTGGTTTCCTGGTGTCTCCTCTACTATCTCCTCCTCGCCCCCCCCCCCCCCCCCCCCCCCCCCAGCTGCTCCTCGCCCTGCACAAGGCGGCTGTGGCGGCCTACAGTCCACGTCATCGCTGCCACGTCATCGCTGCGCTGTCAGTGCTGGTTGATGTCTTGGGGGAAAGAATCACTGTGCCGCCCACTTTCAGGTAAGCCATTGTCGCTTAGGTGATTTACTGTGCCATTTATCACATGACCCTTCGAAATTGCTTAGAAATCTAGCCCTCCTTCCTTCCAGCCACATGCACACCCCCTATGTATGGACCTTCAGACCATCTCTTGCTTCCCCTCACACCTCCCGCATTCTTCTTCCCTCCCCATTCCCCACACTGTGACGTCCCTTCCCCCACACTGTGACGTCCCTTCCCCCACACTGTGACGTCCCTTCCCCCACACTGTGACGTCCCTTCCCCCACACTGTGACGTCCCTTCCCCCACACTGTGACGTCCCTTCCCCCACACTGTGACGTCCCTTCCCCCACACTGTGACGTCCCTTCCCCCACACTGTGACGTCCCTTCCCCCACACTGTGACGTCCCTTCCCCCACACTGTGACGTCCCTTCCCCCACACTGTGACGTCCCTTCCCCCACACTGTGACGTCCCTTCCCCCACACTGTGACGTCCCTTCCCCCACACTGTGACGTCCCTTCCCCCACACTGTGACGTCCCTTCCCCCACACTGTGACGTCCCTTCCCCCACACTGTGACGTCCCTTCCCCCACACTGTGACGTCCCTTCCCCCACACTGTGACGTCCCTTCCCCCAGGTACCTGGTGCACATTCTGCTCGCCTGCCTGCCCACCTCGGTACCCACCTGGCCTCCACCCGCCCCGCCCCTCGCCTCCTCGCAGCTCTCGCTCTCTCAGAGCCCCTCCTCGCCCTCACCATCACCCTCGACTCAAGCAGCGGTGGCGACGGCGTGCCTTGTTGTGCTGGCGCGGGTGGTGGCTGCAGCACAGAGTGGCGGTGGTGGTGGTGGTGCCAAGGGAGGTGGCAGCAGTGGAACGGCAACGCCTGCTGCTTTGCTGGACCAGAGTCAGGTGAGACGTCTCTTGAGGCGGCTCAAGAAGGTGGGGATGGTAGCATGCCATCTGTTGCTAGCAGCAGTGGAGCGACGATGCCTGCTGTTGTGCTGGACCCTAGACAGACCCTAAGCCCGACACCCCGACACCTCAACGACCTCGCTAGAATTTCCTGACGTTGTGTGAGTAAATCATTGTTCATTGTCATTCCCAAGCCAATCCTCTCCGGTTACAAATGCTGACCCATCGTGTTTCATGGGTCATAATTCCCCCTCACATCTTCCTTTCTCCCCTCAAATCCTGCTGTCCCCTGCCACTCTCTCTGCTCCGCCCCCACTCTCTTCCCGCAGGCCATAGTGTCTCGCCTGCTGGCCCTCTGCACTCCCTCCTCGCCAACCACAGCAGCAGGGGCAACAGCAGCGGCAGCGGGAGCGGCGGCAGCAGGAGCAGGAGGGGTGGCAGAAGCAGTGGCGGCAGGGGGGGCAGCAGCAGGGGCAGCAGGGGAGGAGGGCCAGGAGGAGGGCCAGGAGGAGGGGCAGGAGGAGGGGGAGCTTCCAGAGGCGCTGGTGGAGCTGCTGCGAGTGTTCACAGTGGATGCCCCATCAGCAGTGACGGCTCGCCTGCAGGTGCCCTGGGGGGGGGGGGGGGGCGTGCCATGCCATGCGCGGCATGGCTTTTGAGACATCGGGTGCATAGAATAGAATATCTATCATTTCGCTTTCAGGCTGCAAGGCAACGGTCGTGCACTCACAAGTCCTTTGTCAACAAGCTGAGCCTTACAGAAGAACGTTAATGTGCTGATGGGCGGATAGGGGTTTCACACGTATGTCATAACGGTAAGAGTGAGTGGAAAGGATGGCTTTCCAACTGAACCAAGCCTTTCTCTCTCCCCTTTTGGTCCCTCCATTCCCGACCCCTCCTCTCGGCATTGCAGCTGCTGCACATGCCAGCAGCAGCAGTGGCAGCACACCCCTCTCTGGCTCCCATCGCCGACTCTCTCTCCTCGCTCTCCCACGACTCGCCCCTGCCACAACAGCTAACACAGGTGTGCTGTGCGGTGTCCTCCACAAACACGGCAAGGCACACAAGGATAGTTCCTTTCGTTCGTTCCATACTCCCTCCCAGCTTCTCTCAGTCTTGGATGATCCGAGATGACGGCTTGCATGCAGAGCACGCGCAGCTCAGCAACTAGAACAGAAAGATAATGCTCTAGGGCCGGAGTGTGTTTGTAACTTCTGCTTCGTCATGTGCATTCGTCTGTTTGCGGACCTCATTCCTTCTCAGTGCTAAGTCTGCTGCTTATGCTGCTCACTGCCCACTGCCCACCAATCCCTTCTCTGCCTTCCCATGCCCCCCCTCTCCCCCCTCCCTCCTTCTCCCTCCCTACCTCCCTCCCTCCCTTCACCACCGTGCAGCTTGCCTCTCGGGCCACCAGCCTCTCTCCACCTGTTCTCGCACAGAGGTGTGTGGGTTCTGTTTGCTCATGGGTGAATTCGAGGCTCTGTTTGGGCCTGAGGGCTGCAGTGATTGATGCAGCAGGAGGGGTGCTGGTCTGACAAGTGTAGTGCACACATGTCTGTTGAACGAATGCACTAGCACGGTGCCTAACGCCCGGTACCACTTTAGTTTCTCTGCCGTGCCCTTATTATGGTGAATGTTGTATGTATGTGCTGCAACGATGCATGCCCCCCAGCAGCAGCTGATTGTCTTCCATAGCTTTTTCTTCTTCCTCACTGCCCCACTTTTTCCCGTCCTCCCGTCCCCCCGCCCCCATGTGCTCCCAGTCTGGGAGCTCTCTGCGACCACCTCGCCGCCGCCACCAAGCACCTCCTCTGGTGCGACAACACTGCCCCTGCGGCGCCTCAAAAGTCATCTCCCCTCCTATGCCCCCCACCTGCCCTCCCAGTCTGAAAGCTCTCTGCGACCACCTCCCAACCACCAAGCACCTCCTGTGGTGCGACAACACTGCCCCTGCGGCCAAAGGCGTGGAGGGAGCACCAGGCAGCAGCAGCCCAGGGCTGGACGCAGGGGGCCCTGGGGATGGCGTGCCGCGCCCCTCTGCTGAGGCCCTCGCTGCCACGTGGCAGCTGCTGCAGGTGTCACGACAGCTCAGCGAGTCGGACCCCTGTACGAGCACCATCCGGGCGTGCCTTGGCAGGCTTCTGGCTGCTGTGAGTGGGCAACATTTGCTCGTTTCGGTGTTCTTGTCTGTCGTCTCTCCATCTGTTTGCTACTGTCAGCATGTCAATATTTCCGCTTGCCTGCTCCATTCCCACGCACTCCTGCGCATGCCTTGCTGTCATCCCCATCCATGTGCCTCGCTATCCGTCTCGTGCTTGGCAGTTGGGCATATGGGATGCCTCTGCCGTTTCCTTCAAGCCGCCCTCCACAGCAGCTTCAACAACAGGTTCAACAGCAGTGTCAGCACCCACGGGTGGTGTGACAGTAGTGAATGCGGATCCAGCAGGGGAGGGCATTCACGAGGGGGTGATTGTATCGGTGCTCAAGCTGCTGGCCACCCTCCTTGTCGATCCGGACGTGCATGCCATTCAGCTCGCTGCACAAACCATCGAGGTCCGTCCGGTGCCTGCTCTGCTCCTGCCTTGCTTCTGCCTGCTCTGCTCCTGCCTTGCTTCTGCCTGCTCTGCTCCTGCCTTGCTTCTGCCTGCTCTGCTCCTGCCTTGCTTCTGCCTGCTCTGCTCCTGCCTTGCTTCTGCCTGCTTAAACTGTTAAATCAAGACTCGTCGCTCTTTCCTGTTGTTCCATCAATACTCGTCACTGCAACTGCAGCGCAGTGCATTGAAAAGCCTGTTAGACCGCTCTTGACAGTAACTTCACAGCTTGTCCTTTCTATTTTGGGGGTCTCACAGAGCACTCGCTTCCATCCATTTGTTCCCTTGTCCACCACATGCCCCTGCGCTGTGCTGCTTGCTTCCAAGGCAGTCCATTCTCATGACGGAGAGGGGCCATCGGGTCTTCACTGCCACAGCCTTTGAGGAGAAGCAGTATCTCGAGGTGGGTTGAGCTGAGCCGTGGATGAAGTCAAAGTTGTGCATGGTGATGCTGCTGCTATGGACGGACCTGACCTCCGATGTCGCACCTTGTCCTCTCTGATTTGTTGTTTGTTGTGACTTGGATGGCCCGTTGCCATCCTGTGCTGCTTTGGTCAAACCCACCTGTTTGTATCGTGCCACGCTCACTAATCCCTCTGGCACCATCGTTTATTGCTTGCCCTGCTGTCATCTTCTTCAGGCGCACATAAAGACGGTCAACACCGCCCGTGCACAGCAGATTACCCAGCGCCTAAGAGCCGATGCAGCAGGTGCGTGTCTCGAGCTGGTAGCGATTGAGCCGTGCTCATCAATCGCCTCCCGCCTCTGCCTCCCTCTCACTCACTCACATTTTCCGAACAGTCTTTTCTCTTTTCAAACACCTTCCTCGCTCTGTCTCTCTGTCGCTCGATCTCTCCCCCCTGGCCTCCAGCCTCCACGCCTCCAGTGGACGACCCCGCGGTGTGGCAGGCAGTGGGCGCATCTCACGAGGAGTGGGTGTGCCGGGTGGTGCATTTGCTCATTCGGCACGCGCCAGACAACATTCTTGCGTGAGTGACGAATTTGAATGATTTGGGGTGCTGGCCTGGCACTAGCCTTGTGGCTGGCAGAGTTGGTTGGCTTGTGAGAATTCTAGAAATCCTGCCAGGCAGCCTTCCATTACCAGAGGAACAGTGTCACGTCGTCTCTCCCCTCCATCACCAGAATCTTGAAACCTGTGCCAGTTCTGTAGAGTGCATGCCTGACTGACTCTGCCCTCCCTATCTGCATTATGCGCTCTTCGTCCCTCCCCAGTTTGCACCAAACACTCACTCACCAACATGCAAGTCTCCTTCCCTTCTTCACTCCCTTTCTCTGCGAGCCACCCTGTCCAATGTCCAGGCTGTGTGCGCCGCTGTGCCGTGTGAATGCCTCACTCGCTGCACTGCTCCTCCCCCACACACTCGCCACCCTCGCTGCCTCGCATGCACCCACCACTCTCCTCTGCCGCACTATCTCTACCCAGGTGGGTCGCCCTCTCCTCTGCTCAAATCAGTCAACCCATCTCCTCCGCCCCTCTCGTGCCCTTTCTCTCTCAATTATCTCCCCCCTTCCTGCCCATTCGTTTCTACTGCGTATTCTGCTCAACCTCGATGTCCCTGTTCCCCTCTCAACCCCTCCTTTCCGCCTCTCCTCTCACACCACCCTGCCCTCCCACGTGCTGCATCCAGCGCGTCTGGTATCTCCCCTGCAGCTCCTATTGGACGCGCTAACAGCCCTCAGATCAGAGCCTGCCACACCCTTTAAGAATCGTCAGAACCACACTCTCTTTCTCCCACCACCCCCCTTCCCCCACCCCCACCCCTCCTGCAGCTCACTACACACGTGCTGCATCCAGCTCGCCTAGTCTCACCGCGCACGCTGCAGCTCCTATTAGACGCGCTCACCGCCCTCAGAGCCTGCCACACCCGCGCTCGCATGGCCCCTCCCCCCACTGCTGCTGCTGCTGCTGCTGCTGCTGCTGCCCGTGCTACTACCTCTGCCATGGGCGCTCGAAAGAGTGCTGCCAAGGTGCATCTCACCCCAGTTTCTGGTTCCTCCTGTTTGCAGCAGCCATTTTGAATAGCCCCTGTTTTTCTCTTCGCCTCTTTCCCTCCTCTACGCGTTACTTTGTCAAACATCATTATTACCCCACTGTCATGTACCTTGCCTCTTGTTGTTCCCTTCTCATCCATCTGACCCACGTCTCCCGCCCCCGTCTCCTCCCCTCTTTCCTCCACCCAGGCGCCATCAGCAGCACCACCCAGCACCACCACAGAGGCCTCTACCCGCACAGGCATGGCAGGCAGCAGCAGCAAGGGCAAACGAGGGGGCAGGCGGGGGACCAAGAAGAGTGCTGCTGAGTTGACTGCAGGGGAGCAGGAGGGGGCAGCAGGTGGCGCAGGGGGACAGGAGATGGTAGCACAAGAGTCGGGTGTAGCTGAGCGTGCGGCGGCAGAGGAGAGAGGGGCTGATTTGGATGCAGCCGAGCCAGAGGCACCTCAGCACTGGCAGTCTGTGAGGCTCCTCTGCTCCTTGCTTCTTTGCCTTCTTGCCTCCTTGGCCCCGCCCCTTGCGTCCTTTGCCCGTTGCGTCTCTGCTTCCTCGCTTCCTTGGCAATAACAGTGTCTGTATTTCAGCGTGACTTCTGCCTCGCGCACTCATGTGCAGTCATCCATTCCCGCCTTAATCTGTGTTGCCCCATTTGTGTGTATCGTACTTCTCATTCCACCTCTTGTGTGCACGTATGTGTCTGGCGCCCCTCCCTGCTCCGCCTCAGCCTGTCTGGTTGCAGCTGGACCTCCTCACCCTGGCACAGGCTGCACAGGTAACACCTCTCCCAAATGCACCTTCACCTGGCCTAGGGAAGTAAGTTAAAACTAAAGGGAGGTTGCTTGTGTGTTGCGTGGTCGTGTACCAGAATATGAGGGATTGGCCACTGGCAGAAACATTGCAGACGATGCATTGTCCCATCCCATCCCATGTGCCCGTGTCTGTGTGCTGAGCTGTGCCCGATGTGCGCGTGTGTGTGCGCGCGCGCGTGTGTGTGTGTGTGTGTCGGCATGTGCTTCCACGGTACTGTGCAGCACTGCGGCGCATCGCTCACGGCCATTCTCTACGCAGAGCTCTGGTGTGAGGCGCGCTTTGGACGGCCCACTCTCGGTGAACCGAGCTTTGATGAGGACTCTGATGCGGTAACCACATGCAGCTGTCGGTCCGTGGAACCCCAACCCCCCCCTTCCTCCCCCCCCCCCCCCCCCCCCCCCCTCCCCCTCACTTGTGCATACACGCTTGAAAAGGCTCTGCTCGTTCTCAGCTGTATCTGTCAAACTTTCCATCTTGCCCAGCCACATGTGGTGCCCTGCCCACGCGCTTTCTCTCCCCCTCCTCTCCCTGGTCACAGCACGATCACCGAATGTCTCCTATCCCTCTGCTGCCCTGCATCACTGTTCTGTTGTTAGGTGGAGCCCCATGAGGCGCTGCTGCTGGGGTGCTACAGTGCCGTGAACGAGCCCGATGCCATCTATGCCGTCGCTCGCACCAATAAGGTTCGCACGCAATGGAAGGAGGAGAGGGGGAGGAGAGGGGGGAGGAGGGGGGGGGGGGGGGGGGGGGGGGGGTTGGTGCTGCAATGCACTCAGCTCAAGTATCAATGCATATCATCCGTACCACATAACTCACGCATGACATACATGACAATGCACTTAAGTGCACTTATTGTGTTGGGACAAGCCGGACTGACTTCCCGTCCTCTTTCTCCCTGCGTGCTCATGCATGCATGCAGCTGCCGTCCCGTCTGGCCATGGACCGGCATGAGGGGCGATGGGAGAAGGTTCTTGAAACCCTAGACCATGCCATGTCACACCGCCCTGCACCTGCTGCTGCTGCCGCTGCTGCTCTTTCCTCTGCTGCTACTCCTGCAGTGCCCTCGTTACAGTCACAGTCACAATCACAGTGGCAGGGGCAGTGGGCGCAGCAGGGAGTGGTGGCAGCACTACAGCACATGGCATGCTCCCATGTGCTGCAAGCCTACTGCCGTGGTGCCGTCTCAGCACCTTCTGCTTCTGTTGCCACTGATGCTGCCGCTGGTGGTGTTGGTGCTGTTGCCGGTGCTGCTGTGGGCACAGCAGGTGCTGCTGGAGGGGCGGTGCATGGAGCTCTTGGGACAGAAAGAACGGACTTTCTCGAGCTTCAGGTTTGCTTTCAACATGCCCACCTCTTGCACTCATGCACGTGGTATCATATGGCCAATAAGAAATATTACATGTCTGTGAAGTGAACGTTCACGCTCTCATGTGCCTCTTTCGCCCAGAATTCCTTCTTGGCTTGGCAGCAACGACGCTACTGTCTCATCTCAACCTGGTCTCTCTGTTCACACACACACACTCTCCTATCCCTGCTGTTGTTCCGCACCCCTCGTCTCATCCCTCTCTTCTGCAGTACGAAGCTGCCTGGAAGATGGGCAAGTGGGACCTGCCAGCGGCTCAGCTCCCGGACTCATCACCCTGCCCGTCCTCCACGTCGCTCACACTGGCAGCCCCACCAGGCAGCAGCGCCACCACGCCCGCCACCATGGCCATGCCTGGCGGCGCTGCTGCTGGCTTCCATGCCGCGCTCTACAGGTGCGCTGCAGCAGCCCCTTCTTCCGCCTGTCTTCCCATGCTGCCTGTGTCCGCTACAGCTTGCTGGTTTCGAGCGTGAGCACTACAGGTGCGCTGCAGCAGTGAACATCCCCCATCCCCATCGCTCCCCATCGTTTCTTCCTCTATGCTTCCACCCGCTCCCCTCTGTCCTCGTCCACCCATCCATCGCCCTCTCCCGGCAGTTCTCTGAAGGCTCTTCATGATGCCGACTGCACCTCCGCCGCCGCCGCTGCTGTTGCTGCTCAGCAGGTGCTGCCAGCCCTCTGCTCCTCCCTGTCATGCACACTCTCTCTCAACTCAATACACATGCTTTCCAGCACAGCACATGCATGTGCTATCTTGCGCCACTTTCTCAAAATGCACTTACGAGCATTCACGTTCTTCAAATTACCCCACGCTCCATGTCCGTCCATCCAATCCAACCCCCACCCCTCCACACACAACTGTGCTCTCACACACAACCTTGCGCACTCTTCCCACTGCAGCACTCACCCGTTTTGTTTACTTCTCAAGAGTCATTCATCTGCGCGTGTCTACCTTCTCTGCACATCAAACATCGTCACACGCACTCACTCGCTCACACATGTTTTCCTCCACCCAATGTCACCTTGTCACAGACTATTGTGTGCCAGCTGGTGTCCACGTCAGCAGAGAGTGCCCTCCACATCAACTCGCGCCTCGTCCTCCTCCAGGTCAGCCAGACTCCCCCATCCACTCATCCACTCATCCACTCATCCACTCATCCACTCGTCCACCCAGCTTCTCATCCCCCATTCTCCTCCTCCTTCTCAGCGCCGCCTCCCTTCCATCATCGTTCCATTCCCCGATCCCCCCCTCCCCCTCCTCCCTGACTCTTATCTTTTGCTCGTCCCTATCAAAATTGTTTTCCACCAGCTCTTTCTTGTGGCTGTCTAAGTGTCTCACCCGTAGCGTTCTGCCTTCCCGCTCCCACAACGATCCATCTCGGGTCTGAGCAGCTAGCAAAATATTTTTCGGCCACAGCCGCACACACCCTTTCCCCCACTCATCCCCATCTCCCTGTGTCATTCAGGCCCTGGAAAACGTTCGAGAGGCAGCAGCTCTCTCCCTCGCCCGTGGAGGGGGCCTGCCCATTCACGCAGGGCAGGCACGGCACACAGAGGTGGGCAAGGCAGGGATGGATGGGGAATGGGGAGTGGGGAACACGACTGCTGAATCACAACAAAGATTTGTTACAATTGATTCGGGAGTGAGCAAAAGCTGCACAACAAGGTTGGCCTCATTTGGATGTCTGTATACTACTTTCTTATGCATGACTCCTTGTGTCTACATGAAACGCTACTACCCTTGCCCGAACCTTCTCTACCTACCCTACGCCCACTCGCCCACGCACTCATCAATTCATTCACATCATATTCTCCGGCCCACAGTACCCTAATTCTCCCCCCCCCCCCCTGTTGCAGCTGCACACGTGGCAGCGCCAGCTGGCAGCGTGTGGGAGCAGCTTCGAGTTACAGGAGCCGCTGCTGAGCTGTCGGGGAGCGTATCTGCGGGCGAGCGGGCAGCATGGCGCCCTGCCGCTGCACCTGCTAGAAGCTGCCAGCCTCTGCCGCAAGGTGAGCTTTCCGTTGCTGCCATGTTGCAGTGCAAGGTGGGGTAATCACCAGTCTGCACCGCAAGTTGAACTATCGGGGGGCATACCTGTGTGCGAGCGGGCAGCATGCCGCCCTGCCACTGCACCTGCTGGAGGCTTGCCCTGCCACTGCACCTGCTGGAGGCTGCCAGCCTCTGCCGCAAGGTGGGTCAGCAAGTTATGCAGAGGTTTCCTCTGCATAACAAGTCAGCCTCTGCCAGCCTCTGCCGCAAGGTTAGACTCATTCAAGTCAGCAGAATGATATATCATTCTGTCTCAAACATCCTCCCCTTCTTCCCCCCCACAACACAGGCGCGCCTGCTGAGCCAGGCAGCAGTGCACGTGCAGCACCTCAAGGACGCGTGCCGCGCCCTCACAACACACGGCCACGCACCCATGCCTGTGGCCTCCCCGTCACCTACGAGCAGAGCTGCCACAGCGCCGGCAAGGGAGGGGGTGGTGTTCTGTGGGCGGGTGGAGGAGGCGAAGCTGCTGGCATTGGAGGGGCGGCAGGACATGGCAGTGCGCCTTCTGCAGCACCTGCTGCGCCCAGACCTGCCACCCCACGCCTCTCAGGGGGCCGCTTCCCCTGCTACTACCGCCTCTGCTGCTGCTGCTGCTGCATGTGTGCCGGTGCCGGACCGCGTCTACACGCTTGGCATGGCGGCCAAGTGGCTTGGAGAGACACGCTCTATCAGGTTCGGCCGGATCGGGAGGCTAGGAACGTGGGAGATGGGCTTGATTGCCAGACGCAGCTGAGCTGAGCATTGACTCAAAGCACAAGTGTTTCACGATTCAAGTCACCTGGCTCATTTTGTTCTCTCCCACGGCAAATCAAAGCTGTTGCTGCTGTTTTCCTTAACTTCTTGGTTACCCTTCTTTCCTTCTCGCCTCCCTCCTTCTCCCCTCCCTCGTCCCCCCTTTCATTCTCCCCTCTACCACACTGCACTTCTGAACCAACCTTATTCCCTCACCGTCCCCCTTCACTCACACCTGCCCTCCCCCTCACGCCCCCCGTCCCTCCAGCTCGCGGGAGGTGATGAGTGGCTACCTGTGGCGCCCAGGTGGACTGTGGACCTCACACTGCGTTTCTGCACCGACCTTATTCTCTCACCCTCCCCCCTCTCACCTGCCCTCCGCCTCCCACCCACCAGCTCGCGCGTGGTACTGAGTGACTACCTGTGGCGCGCAGTGGACCTCACAACCCACTCGCCCGCCGCCTCGCCTTCGGCTGCTGCTGCCACTGCTCCACCAAGCTACGCCTCGTTTCCTTTTGCCAATAACTGGCACCAGCAGGAACAGGAGCGGCAGTGGAAGCAGCAGCAGCAGCAGCAAGCGGGGTATGGAGGGCAGCAGGGGAGTGAGGAGGAGCAGGGGGGGCAGGGGGAGGAGCAAAGGCAGTGGCAACAGCGACGGCAGCGGGGAGAGGTGCATTTTCAGATGGCGCGATATGTGGATGGGCTGTTCCTGCTGCTGCATACTCGCCTGCACTCGCAGCAGTGGCGTGCTGCACAGGATCTGACGAAACACAAGGTGCGGTGAGAGCGAGGCACAAGGTGAGGTGAGAGGCATGGCAGTGCAGACAGTGCACGCATCACATGCATGCATGCACAGGGCAGACATGCTTGCAAGCAACCAAACATGCAGACCGGTCACACACTAGCCTTCAGACATATGTCTGCCATTGAAGGTGGAGATTCAAGAACGTCTGGGTCACTCTCAGCTGCTCACCAGCTCACCCTTTTTGTCCTGTGTTCTGCTTGACTGCCCCTACCCCCTCATGATTTGCTACCTTCCTGGCATGGCATGGCATGGCGTGGCATGGCGTGGCCGTGGCAGCGGAAGGAGTTGGAGGAGATGACGAAGCGACTGAAGGCTTCCAGACGAGTGAGTGCTGACAGCTGAGCCATCTCTGTCTCTCCCATTTACTCTGCTAAGAAGCACCCTTAGAACTCTGTGTCGTAACATCTCGAGCCTGCCTTCCCTTTTCAAGTCAACCTAACTGAGAGCAGCTCGTTGCATTGTGAATTCACCACCTCATGGCCCGCACTGCACCGCATTGTACCGCATTGCACCCACCTCTCTGCAGGACGACGAGAGGCGGGTGTACGGGATGAAGATCATGGAGCTGCAGAAGCAGCTGAGCATGGACGACACAGAGGCCAACGACCTCCAGGTGCTAACCCCCCTTCTGCCCTCCGTCATTTAGTCTTACTTCGTTTGCCTGCCATACTATGATCGTAGACTGCTGATAGTCGATTTGTACTAAGGCACACATGCACGCACCTCACACTATTATTTGTATTTAAACATTCAATCGCTGCCACGTGGATTTATGGCACGTATGAGTGGTGCTCAATCAAACAGGACCTGCGGTTTCGTCTACCACCGCTGTCTGGTGTGCTGTGCTGTGCTGCAATGTGATGTGGTGTGCTGTGCGGTGGTGAGTGCAGGGCGACCATGACATGTATCTGCGAGCTGCTCTCGATAATTACAGGAACTGCCTTCTTGCGGCCGACACGTTCAACATCAAAGTGGTAACTGTCAAAGTGATTCAGTCCAAGTTGAGAACGTGTCAAAATGATGATACAATCTATGAGCAGTAAGATATGGAACTGATCATGCATCATATCAGGGGTGGAGGTAACCTATTAATATCGTGACAGCAGCTGGCTGGCTTGCACCTGTCCACCAATAGCAGCTCCCCGTTCCCAACTTGCCAATCGCTCATTCCAACCACCACACGCCACCGTCCCACTGCTGATGCCTCTCCTTTTGTTCCCCTTGCCCGCTCGCCCTTATGCCCACAGGTGTTTCGCCTGACAGCCCTCTGGTTCACGCTGCTCAACGATGCCACAGCAGACGCGGTGAATGTGGAGATGCTCACAACCATCCAGACGGTCAGTCATTTCGCTTCTGAATCACAGATGCATCACTTTTGCTTGGCGAAATTTTCTCGGCGAGCACGTGTATGCGAGTAATCAATGACACCAAGAACGGCCAACGTGCACGCATACAGGAGCACCCGCAACAGGGGCTGGAGTACGTGCAGCAGCACGTGCTGCTCCCCAGCTTCTAGCAGAGCCCTCCCGCGCTCCTCCCCCGCTTCATTCCACCCACGCCCTCCTTTCCGCAAGTACCGTCATACAAGTTCCCTGCCAGTCAATATTGTCAGTCGACTCAATTGCCATCCACTCCCCCTGCCCTCCCTCGCCCTTCCCCTCTCCAGGTGCCATCGTACAAGTTCCTGCCGCTGGTCTACCAGATGGCATCCCGCATGAGCGAGCGAGACCCCCATGGCTCACCGCCACTCCACCCGGAGACACCCGACTTCCAGGTGGGTGGTCAGTTCAGTTCAGCTCCGCTCCCAAAGGCTGCAGCACTCTCGTCTGTTCAAGTCTGTTTTGAGACGTCTAAAAGCTCGTATGAGCGAGCGAGACCCCCACGGCTCACCGCCTCTCCAACCGGAGACACCCGACTTCCAGGTGGGTGGGCAGTTCAGCTCCGCTCCCAAATGCTACCTGAAACAGCACACACCCGTTCTAGTTCTTTGCACTTGCAAGGTTGTTCAGCCAGCAGCTGCTCTCTCGAATTTCACCTGCTTTACTTCAAGTACCCCCTAAGCCACCGTTTGATTGCGGCCGACCGCTTACTGTAAAACATCTGCTACACATGTGCCTGTCCTCTCGTCACCATGCTTGCTCGTTGGGTCTCTTTCCTCTTGAGCACCCGCATGCAAGCAGAGAGACATCACGTTATCTCTCTTTGTTCCCTCCCATGCTCCTTGCTGCTCGCTCCCTGTCATGCTTCCTGTCAATCAATCACAGTCAGTGTTGACAACACTCGTCAAGCGAATGGCGGACGATCATCCCCTGCACACCGTGCCTGTGGTACGCACACACTCAACATGTTCGCCCATACTTGGAAATCACAGCATTTGCAGTCTGACTCACACCTACGTACGCAGCACCACAGTGCACACATATTGTCTTAAAACTCCTCCGACTTGTTCAAACACTCCCCTCTCCTCTCCCCTCTCTCCCTTCCCAATCCACCCCTTACCCACCTCCACCCTGCCGCCCTCCCCACCACCAGCTCATGGCACTGGCCAATGGCAGCAGGGTGCGCAGCACTGCATGCATGCACCACCACTGTGCACACCATGCCTACCGAAACCCCAACCCCCCTGCCGCCCTCCCCACCACCAGCTCATGGCACTAGCCAATGGCAACAGGGTGCGCAGCAGCCAGCGCGGGCGCAACCTCTTTGTCGTGGATGAGGACAAGATCCGGGCGGCAAAGGCTGTCCTGGGCGGCATGGCTGAGCGGCACAAGCCCATGCTGGATGAGGTAAGGCAAGAATAGGCGTGCTGCCAGGCTGGCTGTTGAGTGGATAAGTGGGCAGTACAGTTGCTGGCAGACCCTAGCATTCCTCTTTCTACTTCCTTCCCTGCCATCCTTTCTCAATCCCCCTGCCTGCCAATGCCAACCAAAACCCGCTTCTATCTCGGTGCAAAATGCATGAGCTGATGGATAGGTATGGAATGGAATGCCATCCTCATCCTGTGGTGTGCTCCCACCATCCCTCCCCCTCCCCCCCCCCCCAGTGCGTCATCTTCGCTCAACCCGCCTGCCTGCCAACCGAACCCACCCCCTCTCAACCCCTCCTCCCTGTGTGTCTCCAGATGCAGCAGCTGATGGATGTGTGTGGAATCATGGAATGCCGTCTTGGAAGGTTGAGCAAGCATGGATGGCCTGTGGTGCGCCATCTCTGCTCAACCCGCACCCACCTTGCCAACCAACCCTTCCCCCCCTCCCCCCCCCCCCTCCTCCCCCCTCCCCCATGTGTCTCCAGATGCAGCAGCCGATGGATCTGTGTGGAATCATGGAATGCCGTCTTGGAAGGTTGAGCAATCATGGATGGCCTGTGCTGCGCCATCTCTGCTCAACCCGCACCCACCTTGCCAACCAACCTTTCCCCCCTCACACCCCCCCCCTACCCCCCCTCCCCCCCCTCCCCTGTGTGTCCTCCAGATGCAGCAGCTGATGGATCTCTACATCCGCCTGGCGGAGATGGAGTCCAGCAAGGAGGTGGGTGTGGTTCGGTGGAATGCGGTAACAGTGTGTGTGAAGAGGTACATGGTGGCTGTCCACCTGCGATGCTTGCTCCAGAGGGCCTCACCTCCGCCTCACCTCCGCCTCACCTCGCACGTTCTCTTTGCTGTTCACCTCACTTGCTATCTGCTTCATCTCTCTCCTTGCTCCACTGGATTACCGCTTTCCACTTTCTCCTCGTTGTGCTTTTCTGCAAATCTGAAACCACTGATTCTCCATCATCCACCATCCCACCCGCCTCAGGATCTCATGCGCTCGAAGCAGCTTCCGAGAAACTTACGCAGTGTCAGGGACCTCTTACGGGTGAGTGAGTGGTTGCCTGGGCATCAACTTGCGGGTTGGAGATGCCGAACAGACTCTCTTCTGAGAATTCTCAAAAGATGTAGTGGATTCACTTTGTACAGCAGTACGTTGGCGATGCTGAGTGGGTCACAACAACCACGATTGTCATTCACAGCAGGTCTGCTGGCTTCGCCAGGCTGAGCATTGTGTGTTGAAGTCATGTAAACGAGTTACAAAGTGTTTGTATGGTTGGCCAATCGCCCGCCCATGCACGTTTCTATCCCGGCCCTTGCCACATGCCCTCAGCTGTCAGTTCTCTGTGATGGCCTCATCTCTCTCCCAACCTACCACCCATCCCTAGGTGCCGGCGCACACAGCCTCGCTGCCAGTGGATTTCGGAGGCTCCTGAAGAGCGATCTTCTGCCCTCATTCACCTCACGTTATGCCCCCACCGCCCTGCTGCCTGCCCCCAGGTGCCGGTGCTCACAGCCTCGGTGCCTGTGGACCGGACCTGCTGCTATGCCTCGGGGTCCTTCCCTGCCTTCTGCGGACTCAGGGACAGCATGCGGTGAGCGTGAGTGGGGGGCGTCAAGTGAGCTAGCCCATGGCATGGCAACATCCAGTGAGCTTAGGATGCGCTATCATGCTATCCAAGAGCGTTGCGATCTTTGGGGCTGATTGAAAGACGCCTCTCCTCTCCTCTTCAACTACACCATCGTCCCCCTCATCCCTCTTCCCTGCCCGACTTCTCGCCCCCACCAGGGAGATGCACGGGGTGCATGCACCCAAGGTGGTGGAGTGCAGTGCATGGGGCCGGACGACCATGCCTGCCTTTTCATGCAAGCACGCTGCGTTCCTCGTTCCTCTTCGTGTCTCTCCCCTATCCCCCTCCCAACTCCCCTTCCTCTCCAGGGTGATGCACGGGGTGAATGCGCCCAAGGTGGTGGAGTGCATGGGGTCGGACGGCCGCGTGTACAAGCAGCTTGCCAAGTCAGGCAATGATGACCTCCGGCAGGACGCTGTGAGTGGCATGGCATGGCAACATCTTGTGAGTGGCATGGCATGGCAACATCTTGTGAGTGGCATGGCATGGCAACATCTTGTGAGTGGCATGGCATGGCAACATCTTGTGAGTGGCATGGCATGGCAACATCTTGTGAGTGGCATGGCATGGCAACATCTTGTGAGTGGCATGGCATGGCAACATCTTGTGAGTGGCATGGCATGGCAACATCTTGTGAGTGGCATGGCATGGCAACATCTTGTGAGTGGCATGGCATGGCAACATCTTGTGAGTGGCATGGCATGGCAACATCTTGTGAGTGGCATGGCACGCTGTGAGTGGTTCAGGCAGGACGCTGTGAGTGGTTCAGGCAGGACGCTGTGAGTGGTTCAGGCAGGACGCTGTGAGTGGTTCAGGCAGGACGCTGTGAGTGGTTCAGGCAGGACGCTGTGAGTGGTTCAGGCAGGACGCTGTGAGTGGTTCAGGCAGGACGCTGTGAGTGGTTCAGGCAAGACGCTGTGAGTGGTTCAGGCAGGGCGCTGTGAGTGGTTCAGGCAGGACGCTGTGAGTGGTTCAGGCAGGACGCTGTGAGTGGTTCAGGCAGGACGCTGTGAGTGGTTCAGGCAGGACGCTGTGAGTGGTTCAGGCAGGACGCTGTGAGTGGTTCAGGCAGGACGCTGTGAGTGGTTCAGGCAGGACGCTGTGAGTGGTTCAGGCAGGACGCTGTGAGTGGTTCAGGCAGGACGCTGTGAGTGGTTCAGGCAAGACGCTGTGAGTGGTTCAGGCAGGACGCTGTGAGTGGTTCAGGCAGGACGCTGTGAGTGGTTCAGGCAGGACGCTGTGAGTGGTTCAGGCAGGACGCTGTGAGTGGTTCAGGCAGGACGCTGTGAGTGGTTCAGGCAGGACGCTGTGAGTGGTTCAGGCAGGACGCTGTGAGTGGTTCAGGCAGGACGCTGTGAGTGGTTCAGGCAGGACGCTGTGAGTGGTTCAGGCAGGACGCTGTGAGTGGTTCAGGCAGGACGCTGTGAGTGGTTCAGGCAGGACGCTGTGAGTGGTTCAGGCAGGACGCTGTGAGTGGTTCAGGCAGGACGCTGTGAGTGGTTCAGGCAGGACGCTGTGAGTGGTTCAGGCAGGACGCTGTGAGTGGTTCAGGCAAGACGCTGTGAGTGGTTCAGGCAGGACGCTGTGAGTGGTTCAGGCAGGACGCTGTGAGTGGTTCAGGCAGGACGCTGTGAGTGGTTCAGGCAGGACGCTGTGAGTGGTTCAGGCAAGACGCTGTGAGTGGTTCAGGCAGGACGCTGTGAGTGGTTCAGGCAGGACGCTGTGAGTGGTTCAGGCAGGACGCTGTGAGTGGTTCAGGCAGGACGCTGTGAGTGGTTCAGGCAGGACGCTGTGAGTGGTTCAGGCAGGACGCTGTGAGTGGTTCAGGCAGGACGCTGTGAGTGGTTCAGGCAGGACGCTGTGAGTGGTTCAGGCAGGACGCTGTGAGTGGTTCAGGCAGGACGCTGTGAGTGGTTCAGGCAAGACGCTGTGAGTGGTTCAGGCAGGACGCTGTGAGTGGTTCAGGCAGGACGCTGTGAGTGGTTCAGGCAGGACGCTGTGAGTGGTTCAGGCAGGACGCTGTGAGTGGTTCAGGCAGGACGCTGTGAGTGGTTCAGGCAGGACGCTGTGAGTGGTTCAGGCAGGACGCTGTGAGTGGTTCAGGCAGGACGCTGTGAGTGGTTCAGGCAGGACGCTGTGAGTGGTTCAGGCAGGACGCTGTGAGTGGTTCAGGCAGGACGCTGTGAGTGGTTCAGGCAGGACGCTGTGAGTGGTTCAGGCAGGACGCTGTGAGTGGTTCAGGCAGGACGCTGTGAGTGGTTCAGGCAAGGACGCTGTGAGTGGTTCAGGCAAGACGCTGTGAGTGGTTCAGGCAGGACGCTGTGAGTGGTTCAGGCAGGACGCTGTGAGTGGTTCAGGCAGGACGCTGTGAGTGGTTCAGGCAGGACGCTGTGAGTGGTTCAGGCAGGACGCTGTGAGTGGTTCAGGCAGGACGCTGTGAGTGGTTCAGGCAGGACGCTGTGAGTGGTTCAGGCAGGACGCTGTGAGTGGTTCAGGCAGGACGCTGTGAGTGGTTCAGGCAGGACGCTGTGAGTGGTTCAGGCAGGACGCTGTGAGTGGTTCAGGCAGACGCTGTGAGTGGTTCAGGCAGGACGCTGTGAGTGGTTCAGGCAGGACGCTGTGAGTGGTTCAGGCAGGACGCTGTGAGTGGTTCAGGCAGGACGCTGTGAGTGGTTCAGGCAGGACGCTGTGAGTGGTTCAGGCAGGACGCTGTGAGTGGTTCAGGCAAGACGCTGTGAGTGGTTCAGGCAGGACGCTGTGAGTGGTTCAGGCAGGACGCTGTGAGTGGTTCAGGCAGGACGCTGTGAGTGGTTCAGGCAGGACGCTGTGAGTGGTTCAGGCAGGACGCTGTGAGTGGTTCAGGCAGGACGCTGTGAGTGGTTCAGGCAGGACGCTGTGAGTGGTTCAGGCAAGACGCTGTGAGTGGTTCAGGCAGGACGCTGTGAGTGGTTCAGGCAGGACGCTGTGAGTGGTTCAGGCAGGACGCTGTGAGTGGTTCAGGCAGGACGCTGTGAGTGGTTCAGGCAAGACGCTGTGAGTGGTTCAGGCAGGACGCTGTGAGTGGTTCAGGCAGGACGCTGTGAGTGGTTCAGGCAGGACGCTGTGAGTGGTTCAGGCAGGACGCTGTGAGTGGTTCAGGCAGGACGCTGTGAGTGGTTCAGGCAGGACGCTGTGAGTGGTTCAGGCAGGACGCTGTGAGTGGTTCAGGCAGGACGCTGTGAGTGGTTCAGGCAGGACGCTGTGAGTGGTTCAGGCAGGACGCTGTGAGTGGTTCAGGCAAGACGCTGTGAGTGGTTCAGGCAGGACGCTGTGAGTGGTTCAGGCAGGACGCTGTGAGTGGTTCAGGCAGGACGCTGTGAGTGGTTCAGGCAGGACGCTGTGAGTGGTTCAGGCAGGACGCTGTGAGTGGTTCAGGCAGGACGCTGTGAGTGGTTCAGGCAGGACGCTGTGAGTGGTTCAGGCAGGACGCTGTGAGTGGTTCAGGCAGGACGCTGTGAGTGGTTCAGGCAGGACGCTGTGAGTGGTTCAGGCAGGACGCTGTGAGTGGTTCAGGCAGGACGCTGTGAGTGGTTCAGGCAGGACGCTGTGAGTGGTTCAGGCAGGACGCTGTGAGTGGTTCAGGCAAGACGCTGTGAGTGGTTCAGGCAAGACGCTGTGAGTGGTTCAGGCAGGACGCTGTGAGTGGTTCAGGCAGGACGCTGTGAGTGGTTCAGGCAGGACGCTGTGAGTGGTTCAGGCAGGACGCTGTGAGTGGTTCAGGCAGGACGCTGTGAGTGGTTCAGGCAGGACGCTGTGAGTGGTTCAGGCAGGACGCTGTGAGTGGTTGAGGCAGGACGCTGTGAGTGGTTCAGGCAGGACGCTGTGAGTGGTTCAGGCAGGACGCTGTGAGTGGTTCAGGCAAGGACGCTGTGAGTGGTTCAGGCAGGACGCTGTGAGTGGTTCAGGCAGGACGCTGTGAGTGGTTCAGGCAGGACGCTGTGAGTGGTTCAGGCAGGACGCTGTGAGTGGTTCAGGCAGGACGCTGTGAGTGGTTCAGGCAGGACGCTGTGAGTGGTTCAGGCAGGACGCTGTGAGTGGTTCAGGCAGGACGCTGTGAGTGGTTCAGGCAGGACGCTGTGAGTGGTTCAGGCAGGACGCTGTGAGTGGTTCAGGCAGGACGCTGTGAGTGGTTCAGGCAGGACGCTGTGAGTGGTTCAGGCAGGACGCTGTGAGTGGTTCAGGCAGGACGCTGTGAGTGGTTCAGGCAGGACGCTGTGAGTGGTTCAGGCAGGACGCTGTGAGTGGTTCAGGCAGGACGCTGTGAGTGGTTCAGGCAGGACGCTGTGAGTGGTTCAGGCAGGACGCTGTGAGTGGTTCAGGCAGGACGCTGTGAGTGGTTCAGGCAGGACGCTGTGAGTGGTTCAGGCAGGACGCTGTGAGTGGTTCAGGCAGGACGCTGTGAGTGGTTCAGGCAGGACGCTGTGAGTGGTTCAGGCAGGACGCTGTGAGTGGTTCAGGCAGGACGCTGTGAGTGGTTCAGGCAGGACGCTGTGAGTGGTTCAGGCAGGACGCTGTGAGTGGTTCAGGCAGGACGCTGTGAGTGGTTCAGGCAGGACGCTGTGAGTGGTTCAGGCAGGACGCTGTGAGTGGTTCAGGCAAGACGCTGTGAGTGGTTCAGGCAGGACGCTGTGAGTGGTTCAGGCAGGACGCTGTGAGTGGTTCAGGCAGGACGCTGTGAGTGGTTCAGGCAGGACGCTGTGAGTGGTTCAGGCAGGACGCTGTGAGTGGTTCAGGCAGGACGCTGTGAGTGGTTCAGGCAGGACGCTGTGAGTGGTTCAGGCAGGACGCTGTGAGTGGTTCAGGCAGGACGCTGTGAGTGGTTCAGGCAGGACGCTGTGAGTGGTTCAGGCAGGACGCTGTGAGTGGTTCAGGCAGGACGCTGTGAGTGGTTCAGGCAGGACGCTGTGAGTGGTTCAGGCAGGACGCTGTGAGTGGTTCAGGCAGGACGCTGTGAGTGGTTCAGGCAGGACGCTGTGAGTGGTTCAGGCAGGACGCTGTGAGTGGTTCAGGCAGGACGCTGTGAGTGGTTCAGGCAGGACGCTGTGAGTGGTTCAGGCAGGACGCTGTGAGTGGTTCAGGCAGGACGCTGTGAGTGGTTCAGGCAGGACGCTGTGAGTGGTTCAGGCAGGACGCTGTGAGTGGTTCAGGCAGGACGCTGTGAGTGGTTCAGGCAGGACGCTGTGAGTGGTTCAGGCAGGACGCTGTGAGTGGTTCAGGCAGGACGCTGTGAGTGGTTCAGGCAGGACGCTGTGAGTGGTTCAGGCAGGACGCTGTGAGTGGTTCAGGCAGGACGCTGTGAGTGGTTCAGGCAGGACGCTGTGAGTGGTTCAGGCAGGACGCTGTGAGTGGTTCAGGCAGGACGCTGTGAGTGGTTCAGGCAGGACGCTGTGAGTGGTTCAGGCAGGACGCTGTGAGTGGTTCAGGCAGGACGCTGTGAGTGGTTCAGGCAGGACGCTGTGAGTGGTTCAGGCAGGACGCTGTGAGTGGTTCAGGCAGGACGCTGTGAGTGGTTCAGGCAGGACGCTGTGAGTGGTTCAGGCAGGACGCTGTGAGTGGTTCAGGCAGGACGCTGTGAGTGGTTCAGGCAGGACGCTGTGAGTGGTTCAGGCAGGACGCTGTGAGTGGTTCAGGCAGGACGCTGTGAGTGGTTCAGGCAGGACGCTGTGAGTGGTTCAGGCAGGACGCTGTGAGTGGTTCAGGCAGGACGATTTTCCTCTTTCGGGTTCTCACCTCACCCCACTTCACCTCACCTCACCTCTCCTCGCGTTCACCTTCCCTCTTCCCTGGCCCCTCTCAGGCGATGAAGCAGTTATTAGGGCTGGTGAACTGATGACACAGTTCCCCTGTCTTCCCTCCCACGGCACCATATATTGGAGCTGCTAGCAGGGCTGTTCCCCTGTCCACTCCCCCTCTTTCCATTCTCCCACCCTTGCCCCCACGGCACCAGGTGATGGAGCAGCTGTTCAGCCTACTCAGCTCCCTTCTTCCCCCCTCTCTCCCCACTGCCCCTCTCTCCTTATTAAATTGCTGTCCCCACTCTCCCCCCTCGGCCCCACGGCACCAGGTGATGGAGCAGCTGTTCGGGCTGGTGAATCAAATTTCCCCCCCACTCTCCCCACCTCTTTCCTCTCCCCCACCAGGTGATGGAGCAGCTGTTCGGGTTGGTGAACTCGCTGCTGCAAGCCCATGAGGGGGCCACCAGGCGCCACCTCGCCATCCGCACCTACAAGGTGACCTCCTCTCTCTGCGCCTCCTGCATGGCACTTGTGCATTGCAGCCCACAGTGTGAGTGCATGCACGCCCAGCATGCACGCAAGCCCATGAGGGGGCCCACCAGGCACCGCCTCGCCATCCGCACCTACAAGGTGAGGTCAAGTGCATCACACGAATCAGCAACAACTGACGAAATGCTTCTCCTCCACTCCACTCTACTCCATTCCACTCCATTCCTCTCCACCCCAATCACCACCGCATCCGGTCGCACCTGTCAATCCTGCCCCTCTCTCTGCCATTTGCCCCTCCCTCTGCCATCTGCCACTGCGTGCATAATTCCGCTCCCTCTGCTCCCTTCCTCTGCCGCCGACATGTCCTCTCAGGTGGTCCCCTTCTACTCCCAGTGCAGGCAACTTTTTAGTCGACTCAAAATCACACCTCCCTCTGCCTCCCTCTGCGGCCCCCCCCCGCCTTCCCCCCCTTCCCCCATGGCCTCTCTCAGGTCGTCCCATTCACTCCCAGTGCAGGACTGCTCGAGTGGGTGGATGGCACACTGCCGCTTGGGGAGTACCTTCTAGGAAGGTGCGTGGTCTAGGCTAGAGCATGTGCTTGCAGGGGCGCTCGGTCGTCTGTCTTGTGTGCGTGCGTGTGGGCACGCACATCGGGCTGATGTGACTGCATGCCCATGTGTTTACCCACTCGGTGTGTAGAATCACACGAGAATAGCATACTCTGCCTTGCTTGCTTGCAGCATGCATTAGTCTGTATCCACCCCTCCAGCACCTTTTGAGACATCTCAAAAGTCCCCCCAGCACCTTATGCTTTGCACCCTCCTCCTGGCTCCCTCAATTCTTTCCCACCTTCCCCCCCACGGCCCGCTCACCACTCTTCCCGTTGCTCCGCCCCCATCCACTCCCTCTCCACCCACGCGGCCAGCACTCGCAAGGGAGGAGCGCACGCACGCTACGGGGGCTCGGATTGGCCCTTCATGACATGCCGTGAAGTGATGTCACGGGTGCGATGGGATGTGATGCGATGCAATGCGATGGGATGGGATGGGATGTGATGTGATGGGATGGGATGGGATGCAATGGGATGGGATGGGATGCGAGGGGATGGATTAAGATGGGGTGGATTGAGATGGGATGGGATGGGATGGGATGGGATGGGATGGGATGGGATGGGATGGGGTGGGGTGGGGTGGGGTGGGGTGGGGTGGGGTGGGGTGGGGTGGGGTGGGGTGGGGTGGGGTGGGGTGGGGTGGGGTGGGGTGGGATGCGATGCGATGCGATGCGATGCAATGCGATGCGATGTGATGGGATGTGACGTGATGCGTTGCTGTGCTGTGAACTCGTGGCTTCAGTTTTGACATGGTTGGTGGCGTGGGGCCTTGAGTAGCTGATCGTGACTTCACCATGTTGATTGACCAGCCCTTCATGCCGTGCCGCATGAAGTGATGGCGTGGGTGAGATGGGATGGTGCGGGTGAGATGGGATTACTTGCGAGTAGAACCTTGTTTACTCTACCCTTCCTTTGCCTCGAAACCCCCATTCTCTCATTCCCCTGTATTCCCTCGTCGTCCCCCACTGCTCATATCTGCATGCATCCATACACAGGAAAGCGACAAGAGGCAAGCCTTTGACAAGGTTCTTCAGAACTTCCAGTGAGCTCCTTTTTTCTCACACAGTTAGCCCCTTTCTTCTCACCTCACACTGAGCCCCTGCCCTTCACCTTTGTGTTACGTCCGTATCATGTGAAGGTAGGCCGCATCAATCAGTGTGTCATCCCTTCTCAACCTGTTCACCCTCTAAACCCCTCAATCCGTCTCCATCCCCTTCCACCGCTCCCCAGCCCTGTGATGCGTCATTTCTTCCTGGAGCGCTTCATGCTGCCCGCGGACTGGTTTGACCGCCGCCTCACATACACTCGCAGCGTGGCCGCCACCTCCATGGTAAGGTTTTTTTCTTTTACTCTCAAGAAACAACCTTTTATCGTCACATAGCTTTTTGAGCCATGTGCATCGCACATAGCACGCCCTTCCCAGCCCATTTCCAAATGTGCCATTCTATTCAACCCTCACCTCACCCTCGTCAAGCACCTCACCCCTGTGAAACAAGTTACCCCCGTTGTGGAGGGTCCCGTCCCGTTGTGCCCCCCCAGACCTGCCTCGTGTGCACCTCCATCGATCTTGTGTGTATCATGGCAGGTGGGGTACGTGGTGGGGCTGGGCGACCGGCACTCACGATTGTTCACCACCTCACCCTTGTCGCGAAGCATCTAACCGCTGTGCACCACCTGACCTATCTCTTCTGTGCTGTGTGGCAGGTGGGGCTGGGCGACCGGCGCTCACCCTTGTGCATTATCTATCCATTGTGCCCCATCTCACCTATCTCTTTTGTGCTGTGTGGCAGGTGGGGTACGTGGTGGGGCTGGGCGACCGGCATGCGATGAACATTCTGCTGGACGAGCGATCAGCAGAGGTGGTGCACATCGACCTGGGGATTGCCTTCGAGCAGGGGCTCATGCTCAAGACGCCCGAGAAGGTGCGTGTGGGGGTGGGTGTGCAGACAATGCATATCCACTCCCATGATGTGAAATGAGAACCACGTGTTAAAGAGGTGAGGCAAAGCCTCAAATCGCACTCGTCAATGGCTGCACTTTGTGTGAGATGAACGGCAAAGAATCAGGACACTTCATTCTCATGTTCACGTGAACAACTTGTGGATCCATTCCATTCTACACCCCTCCGAACTGCTCTCCACTCCCGAGTGCGTCGCACACGTGGCAGGTGCCCGTCCGCCTCACGCGGTGCATCATTGACAGCATGGGCGTGAGCGGCATGGAGGGGGGCGTTCCGTTCCAGCAGCCTTCTTACCCCTCGCATGTGCCCTTTCAAATCACAAACACATGACACGGCAGGTGCCATTCCGTCTCACGCGGGATATCATAGACGGCATGGGCGTGAGTGGTGTGGAGGGGGTGTTTCGGCGCTGCTGTGAGACGGTACTGGCGGTGATGCGCGAGAACAAGGAGGCACTGCTGACCATCATTGAGGTGAGTTTACTATTGAGGCGCCTCAAAAGCCGTCGCTCTAAGCGCCAAGTGGCACTGCCGACCATCATTGAGGTGAGTGGTGAGTGATGCGAGATTCTGATGTGGAGCAAGCGCACCCAGGCTAGTCAGCACCGCTGTGAGACGGTGCTGGCGGTGATGCGCGAGAACAAGGAGGCGCTGCTGACCATCATTGAGGTGAGTTCGGTGGAGTGAGTGATGCTTCACTCTGATCAGCAGCAAGTGCATCCATTCTAGTCAGTTTAGGACGACTGTCTCCCCCTCCCACCCTTATTCCCGCTGCCGTCCTTATTCCCCCTGCCCGTACTCCTCCTGCTGCCTTTACTCCCCCTGCTGCCCTTTCTCCCCCTGCCGCACTTACTCCCCTTCTGTCCTACTTGTCCCTGCCACCCTGTGTGCCCCTGCCGCTCTGTGTGCCTCTGCCCCCCTGTGTGCCCCTGCAGGTGTTCATCTATGATCCCCTTTACAAGTGGGCCCTCTCTCCGCTTAAGGCGCTGCATCGACAGAAGGTGCCGTCTTGCCCTCACCTTACATGCTCACTTGCATCTCTCCATTACACTCAAGTAATCTCATCCCACTTATCCCTTTTTTTTTCACCGGTTTCCATTTGCTCGAGCATTGTTACCAAGCTACCATGCCACCTCTTTCGATTTCTGCCTGGTAATTTCCCAATCCATGGCATTGCACAAGTGCCACTGTGTGTGTGTGTGTGTCACTGCATGGGTCCCCAGATGGAGGAGAGTGAGGAGGCGATGGAGGAGGAGGGGACGGAGGAGGAGAGCGGGGCAGCGATGGAGGGCAACGAGGAGGCCACGAGAGCACTGCTGCGAGTCAAGCAGAAGCTGGATGGCTTTGAGGACGGCGAGATGCGTAGTTTGGCCGGGCAGGTGAGGCATAATGGCCGGGCAGGTGGGGCAGCATGGCCGGGCAAATAGGCCAGGTAGAGCAGTATGTAACTGTTGAAATGAGTGCAACAACGATCCTCTGTATGGTAATGCTCGCCTTTTCCCATCGCCTTCAGCCTGCAGCTCTGTTTGGCCCCTCACCCCTGCTCCCCATCCCTGGCCTGCATTTCCCATCACTGCACTTATTCACTGCACTGCTGTGCTCCACTCTGCTGCCACCAGGTGCAGCAGCTGATCAAGGACGCACAAGACCCCGACCGCCTTGCCGTCATGTTTCCAGGATGGGGAGCTTGGCTGTAGCATGGTGGCAATGGCTGTAGCATGGTCGTAATGGCTGTAGCATGTTGCAACATGGCTATAGCAAGGTACTTGTATCCTGTTGCAGCATGTTTGTAGCATGTCCAAAGCATCGTGGTACTGGTATCATTGTTCTAGAAAGGTTGTAGCACAGTTGTAGCACGTGAATAGCAATGTGTGTAGCTCAGCAAAGACAAGAGCGCTTGCCTTTCATGTATCATAGAGCTATGAGATGGGTGGAATAACCACCGGAGCCACAATGAGCCTAACGTGGGCATGACCTTTGTTCCCACCAGACTTGCCAGTCTGTCAGACCGGAGGTGCAAGCCCCATAACCTCTGGGGCAGCCCAATCTAGAAGTGAACACTCATGCACTTATCTACGCAACCCTTACCTGAAGAAACAGACTAAGCTGAGATGTACTCCTGCTTCTAAATTGCCCAGTATTTCGTTCATACTGGTACATCCATGAAGATCCAGAGCACAGTGCTCTGTCTCACACCAAACTCGGTAAGGCAGCACGCCCCAAGCGCTTATCCATGACGAAACCCATCACGTTCACATCAGAAGCTCTCCCGGTGTTCGTAAATGCAAACTATCGGATTTGTAGTCAAAATTGTATAATGAAATTGAACAAAGAGAATGTACAGGGTGACATATCAACTATTTAAGCACCGGGGGTGAAGTTGGTGGCATAGGCCCACGCGTTGTTCACGGTGGGGTCAGCCAGGTGATCCGACAGGTTCTCCAGAGGGCCCTTGCCGGTGACGATGGCCTGGACGAAGAAGCCGAACATCGACACCATGGCGAGGCGGCCGTTCTTCAGCTCCTTCACCTTCAGCTCGGCAAGCGCGTCGGGGTCGTCAGCCAGGCCCAGGGGGTCGAAGGCACCGCCGGGGTACAGGGGGTCCTCAACCTCTTGGAAGCCCTCGAGGCCACCCACGCGGTAGCTCTCGACGGCACCCATGAGGATGACCTGGGTGGCCCAGATGGCGAGGATGGACTGCGCGTGGATCAGGCTGGGGTTGCCCAGGTAGTCCAGGCCACCCTCGGAGAAGATTTGAGCGCCGGCCTTGAACCACACGGCCTCGCCGAAGTTCACGCCGTTGCCGGCCAGCAGCTCGGGGGTCAGGCAGCCGAGCGCGCCGAGCAGAGCCCAGCGAGCGTGAATCACCTGATGGGTGGAGGAGACGCAAGAGAAGCAGGAGATGGTGACGATACGAAGAATACAATCCCGAGGTAAGCTACTGCAAGCCGCGTCATTCTAGAATGCGTCACCACAAATTAAAAGGACAATCGGGTTCGAGAATCGGGAGTTGATGACGATACGAACAGAACGAAATGGCTTGCTACTGAAAGCCGCACAACGAGTTGAACGATTCTGGAAAGATTTGTTTTACTCCCGAAAGGGAAATCGGGGTCAAATGAGTAGTTATGGATTCGGTGTGGCTTACCTCCAGCTCGCGGTTCTTGGCGAAGGTCTCGGGATCAGCGGACAGACCCGCGGTGTCCCAGCCGTAGTCGCCGGGGTACTCGCCGGTGAGGTACGACGGGGGGGAGGAGTACGGGCCCAGGAACAGGCTGCGGTCGGGGCCGTAGAAGGCGCTGCTGGAAGCCGCCTTGGCGGTCTTCCTCATCGTCACGCGGGCCTCGACATTGTTCACCTTGGCGGCGAGCTCAGCGCTCTGGCCGACGAAGGTGGAGGGGAGCACGGCAGCGTTGGCGAGAGCGGCCATGTTGTTAGTTTGGACAGGGAAGGGAAGCTGTTGGGTGTTGAGATAATACTGGAACAGAGCTTCTGCTTCTGCTGAATGCTGAACTGCGAGCGACCTTTTGAACCAAAATGCTCGTGGGGGAACTGGTTGGAAGGAATCAGTGATGGGGTGATTTCCTGCGAGTTCCTCCGATGCTCGGAGATCTCCTTTCCCCCTTACCCAGAATCCACGCAATCAGAGCTCAGCCAATGGCGAACGCCCTGGTTACCGGGTGATGTTGGAATTGCTGTGGTGTGCATTTGCACCAGAGTGAAAAATCGCTTTTGTGGCAGGGATTGTGTGATGAAGGTGTTCGTGCCTTTTCGCTCATGTTGCCTACGCCAGCTCGACACCACGGAAACACGTGGTCTCTAGGGAACGTGGTGATATTTTTCTTCGATGTGGCGTCCAATCTTATTGGTCGACACAAGCTGGCTTCCGCCTTTTCCTTCACTCGAAATCAGTTTGTGGCGAATAATGTGCAGGTGGTGTGGACCACACGAAGATTGTGGAGTCAGCTCTGTATGTGCGCACCTGGCGAAATTCCAGCACTCGCTTTTTTTCGTGCCTCCCACCCACATTATTGTGCGACTCCAATCTTGGGTTGGATTTCGATTGGTGTGGTGTTGGGCACGGTTTGCATCGCATTGCTTCCGCACGCGATGCTTGCGGCAAGTGTGTGGATTGTGGTGGGTTGGGGCGTGGTGGGATGAGGCGAGCTAGGTTGGGGCGTGGTGGGATGAGGCGAGCTAGGTTGGGGCGTGGTGGAATGAGCCTTGGGGAGGATGTTCGCAAGCCCAACACCATGGAGTTCAAGGCCAACATCCCTGTGCAGCGAGTTTGGGTGGGACGAAATTCCAGTTTCCACCTTGTGCGTGGACTATGGACTCCGTCTGATGTGCGTGGTGTGGGACTGACACGGCTATCGCGTTTGTTCCTTGCTATTGTCAAACAAGAAAACTAGTGCCACATTCTCGTGAGAGGATTCCAGTCACTGTTGTTTTGTACGACGTGGCGCTCCTATTGATTGGCGAAGCCCATCTTCCCAACTTCGCCGCGTTTGTTGATTGCGGAATTTGCTCTACCCGCAGCCTAAGATCTCGCAGTAAGTGGAAGGACTGGAAACAGCTGCAGTTGCAATACTGATTAGCTTACGAACGTTGGACAACATGTATCTGCGGTGATATTTTAGGCGTCAATATATCACCGATTAGGTCACATCTCACGCGACTCAAAGTCAGGTTTCTCGCCTTGCCAAGAGCGAACAAGAGCGAACAGGTTTAGCATAATCACAATGCTAGGAGTGGCAACCGACTGTGCACGAAGGCAATGTCATTTTGTATGTTGGCTGTCTTGGGAATACAGGTATTCGTGTAACTTGTAATCATTTGGTATATTTTGGATTTAGAGAAATGTACAAGGGAAGGGTTAAAATACTTAAGCACCGGGGGTGAAGTTGGTGGCATAGGCCCACGCGTTGTTGACGGTGGGGTCAGCCAGATGGTCGTTCAGGTTCTCCAGGGGACCCTTGCCGGTGACGATCGCCTGCACGAAGAAGCCGAACATGGACACCATGGCGAGGCGGCCGTTCTTCAGCTCCTTCACCTTCAGCTCGGCAAGAGCATCGGGGTCGTCAGCCAGGCCCAGGGGGTCGAAGGCACCGCCGGGGTACAGGGGGTCCTCAACCTCTTGGAAGCCCTCGAGGCCACCCACGCGGTAGCTCTCGACGGCACCCATGAGGATGACCTGGGTGGCCCAGATGGCGAGGATGGACTGCGCGTGGATCAGGCTGGGGTTGCCCAGGTAGTCCAGGCCACCCTCGGAGAAGATTTGAGCGCCGGCCTTGAACCACACGGCCTCGCCGAAGTTCACGCCGTTGCCGGCCAGCAGCTCGGGGGTCAGGCAGCCGAGCGCGCCGAGCAGAGCCCAGCGAGCGTGAATCACCTGATGGGTGGAGGAGACGCAAGAGAAGCAGGAGATGGTGACGATACGAAGAATACAATCCCGAGGTAAGCTACTGCAAGCCGCGTCATTCTAGAATGCGTCACCACAAATTAAAAGGACAATCGGGTTCGAGAATCGGGAGTTGATGACGATACGAACAGAACGAAATGGCTTGCTACTGAAAGCCGCACAACGAGTTGAACGATTCTGGAAAGATTTGTTTTACTCCCGAAAGGGAAATCGGGGTCAAATGAGTAGTTATGGATTCGGTGTGGCTTACCTCCAGCTCGCGGTTCTTGGCGAAGGTCTCGGGATCAGCGGACAGACCCGCGGTGTCCCAGCCGTAGTCGCCGGGGTACTCGCCGGTGAGGTACGACGGGGGGGAGGAGTACGGGCCCAGGAACAGGCTGCGGTCGGGGCCGTAGAAGGCGCTGCTGGAAGCCGCCTTGGCGGTCTTCCTCATCGTCACGCGGGCCTCGACATTGTTCACCTTGGCGGCGAGCTCAGCGCTCTGGCCGACGAAGGTGGAGGGGAGCACAGCAGCGTTAGCGAGAGCAGCCATTGTGGATGTGTAAGTTAGTCGAAATGAAAGCTGCTGTAAGAATTCCTGGATGAGTGGCAGACTGCTGAATTGCTCTTGACTGGCGGCCGTTTTGAACTCGAGGTCTGAGGGAGCAAGGTGGGCTTGGGTGGAGGAGAGCTGTTGTTGGGGGCGATTGCGATTGGATGCTGACTCATCGCTGACCGCGTGCATTCCAGGTGCCCGACGCTCCGAAATCTTCTCACCTGCTCACTAGGATCCAGGCAATCTGAGCTTGGCCAATTGGGGTGGACTACATTCTGCAAAAATTCTGATGGGTCGTGCTCGCCTGGTGCTGCTCTTGGCGACAGTGTGTGCGAGGTGTCGAAATTGTCATCGCCACAGTTCGCCATATCGCCATTGACCTGAGCACCGCAGCAAGCCAGATTTTGGCATGAGCGAATTGCAAGCTGATTGGGCAACGCAAATGGTTATCTTCAATCATCTTCTTGATTCATCGACCCTCGAACCACTCTCCAACGTTCCAAACCTCCATCTTCCCAAGTTTCAAGAGACCCAATATGATTACGGTTTAGGGAGGTTATGTGAGCATCCAGAAGGGTCGAGCAAGATACTACAAAGCTTGTAAACTCTTGCATCATACAAAAAAATGCACATGATGTTCAGAGCATCACCAACACGTTGAGCATCACGTTATCGCCGTCAATCATGCTTTGACCAAGTACCTCGCCACTAGGACTGCCTCCAGCAGTCCGTGTAGTGGTCGCCTAATAGCGATGCGGCATTTTGAGATGTCGCGTACCCGCAAAAGCGGCATCGTCCAATCATCAGCGGCAAGTCATCCACCGTGAGGTCGTCATCAGATTGACTGCACCCGCGTTCACACTCCCTTCCAGGGTCTTCTTTATCAGAAATTTCTTGTTTGATTGTCTGAGTTTCATACCTACTTTTATGTTTTCATCTGATTGCCTAGACAAGGTGATTTTTTTCATCTGAAAGTTCATATATGAAATTTATTTTCGCCTGAATTTTCAGAAACTTAATAAATTTTCGTCTGAATATGCACATAGCGGGTGTTTTCTCGTCTGACGCGAAGTGAACGGACGGTGCAATCTAAGCCGTCGATGTGGAAGTTGGAATTCGGATCGTTGGATTAAGTATACAACAATTTCGGTTCATGTGCATTCACTGGCTTACTGGGCATCTCGCTTCCCTTATAGAAGGGAGAAAATTAACTAAGTAAAAATATATCTAACAGATCATATGAAACTTCAGGCCCTTTAAGAGTATTTCGTCTGACAAGCCAGACATCATCACTTTTTCGTCTGACGTTCAGACGAAGCAAAAATACTTGGTCTGGCGTTCAGACGGGCTCACATACTAAAGTTGTCCCTGCTCCCTTCCCCTCCTCACTCGACTGTTGGAGTTGGTTCGTCGAACCACCCTAGAAGTCGGGCCGACGGCGAAAACTACGCGGTGGCGTGTGGAAGAAGAAAAGCGAAGAAACTAAGAAGTTCCTAAATAGCTTGGCGTGTAGGTTATGGCTATGGAAGAAGTGGAAGAAACAGGAAGGAGAAAGAGTGAAGTTTGAGGAAGAAATGACTAGAAGGGAAGAAGGAGTTTGACGGGAGTGAAATTGGGATCGAGAAATTGGTGGACGGGGAAGAAGTTGGGTTAGATACATGGCGTGGTTCACAAGTTACTGAATTCGGACTTTGGGGGCGTTCGAGGAGGGAGGGTCGGTTGCGTGTGCGACTCGACGTGAAACAATGTGGGGGGGGTTAGCTTGTGGGACACGTATGGTTGCAGTTACATGTGTGCTTGAGGATAGGTATAAATTTGTTCAAGTCGTTTGGAAACACAACCTTGGCAGAATCTTTCATTTTGAAGGCCAGAATTCAAGTCCAATATTTGGCACATTTCTGATTCCTAAGTGAATTGCTAGTCAAGGACTAGTGAAGCCTTCGTCAATGCCCCGCGAGGCACTAGTGATTGTGAATCCACCGTGAAGGCCCCATCAGGTGCTAGTAAAGTGCTAGTGACCCGAATTGCCCAGTGAAGCGCTAGCGAAGCGCCAGTAAAGCGCCAGTCGAGCGCTAGTGAAACAAAAAGGCTAGTGAATCGCTAGTGAGGCACTAGTGAAATGTTGACGAAATTAAACGCTGCGCATATCGTTGGAATCGTGAGAACGAGGAGAACGCGATCGACATTAGCAAGCAGACTTTTGTCGACTAAGGCGTCTACGATCCTAACATCGGCAGTATCGCTCCGCAGAACTAGCCGCGTTCTCACTACATATACGCCTCTATTCCCACCGTTCACCATGTCTCGCCCAGCGGCTCCACACGAGTTTCCTCCTTGCCCTCCCGGCCCCCCACGCCTTTTGTCGCTCGCACGCTCTTCCTCAGTCCGCCATCGCAGGCCACAGTCCGCGTCGGCGCCGCTACCAGCATAGTAGTCCTAGCGACGGTTCAGCGCGCAGCGCCAGCTGTCCGCTAATCGCGTCTTTCGTCGCCATGGCGCGTGGCGGGCCGCGTTCTACCCTTCAAGCGGCGTGCCTCACCGCGGTCCTCGCTGGCGTCATTGCTCTCGCGCTGCTCACAGGAATCAGCGCGCAGGATGTGCCCCCGCAGGAGACCCCGGAGCCGCAGGATGCGCCCGCGGAGGCCCTGGCGCAACCAGACAAGTTCATACTGACCGACTCGACTTTGGAAATTGAGAACGCAGACGGCCACGGAGAAGTTTTTCTCCAGGAAGTTCCGTGCCAAGACGTGGATGCGAGCTGGTTCACGGGGCAAGTGGACGCCAAGATCACGTGGAACAAGTGGGCCCGTGGTGAAGCCAGACGCCTCTGCAACAACTTCTCCTTCCACTCCATGCCGAGCTGCCAGGGACGTCCCTACGCGACCATACTGCGTACTCGGGACCTCGAGAACAGATACACCAGCACGTGGTGAGCCCGCATGTGCCGCACCATGGTAACTCCCGTGGTAGTTCGTCAGTTCGGTTTGGTTATCTGTGGCCCTCTGTGGTTCTGTTGTTGCACACAGTGTGTCCCTCTCCACCTTCCACCGTGCTCATGTCCGATCGTTTTCCCTCTGCTCCCCTCTGCTCCCTTCTGCCCCCCTGTGCTCCTCTGCTCACATGTGCTCCCCTCTACTCCCCTATGCTCCTCTGCTCCCTTGTGCTCCCCTCTGCTCCCCTGTGCTCCCCTGCCCGCGCCATGCCCTCGTTGCTGCTGCTCTCAGGACACTCCCTGCCACCGACTTGCCAGCGTCAGTGAGCTGCGAGGAGGCGCCCTCAGGGCCAGCCAAGTTCATACAGACTGACTCAACACTGGAATTCAAGAATGCAGACGGTCAGGGAGATGTTTTTCTCCAAGAGATTCCGTGCCAAGACGTGGAACGGAGCTGGTTCACGGGCCAAGTGAACGCCAAGATCACGTGAAACCAGTGAGGCTTTGAACACAGTGTCCACTGCAGCAGCTTCGCCTACCACTCTTGGCCGGGCTGCGCGGGGCGCCCCTTTGCGAAACAACTGCGTACTCAGCCCTTTTCCCGAAGAACCAGATACTTCAGCACGTGGTGAGCTCACATGTGCTGCACGATGGTTACTTCTGTGGTAGTTAGTCAATTGGTTTGGTTCTGTTGTTGCACATCTGTGTCCCTCTCCTTCTTCCACTCTACACGTCTCATCGTTTTCCCTCTGCCCCCCTCTGCTCCCCTGTGCTCCCATGTGCTCCCCTGTGCTCCCGTGTGCTCCCGTGTGCTCCCCTGTGCTCTCCTGCTGCCCTCGCTGCTGCTGCTCTCAGGACGCTCCCTGCCGGCGGCGAGTTGCCATCGTCATTGAGATGCGAGGAGGGTAAGATTGCAACCTGGTCTCGCTGTGTCTTCCAAGGTGTGACGCGCTTGCCCATCATGGTAACATATGGCAATGCATGTGCCAAGGCCCGTCGCCCGCACTGCACTGTGCTTCACAGATGTGACTCCTCAAAGCCTGCCGCGTGGTGCGGTGCGTTGTCGTGTGGTGTGAGGTCTGCTGTGTGGTGTGGTGAGGTCTGCTGTGTGTGGTTGTGAGGGTTGTGTCAAACATTATATGTTTATATTGTGTAGGCTATAGTGGGTTTAGCCTTAGGGGGTACAGCTTTGTTAGGGTTTCCTACTTGTATCCCCCTCCTACCTAGTTTCATTCATTCTTGTTCTATTCTAGATTCTAACATGGTATCACGAGCCTAGGTTGCTACCTAGGACCGCTTTCTATTATGGGGGCTATTATTCCGCTAGAAGCGCCCTCGTGCGCCCTACCTTACGTGCGCCCTCGTGCGCCTTTCTCTGCTAGTGCGCCTTCGTGCGCCCTCGTGCGCCCTTGTGCGCCCTCGTGCGCCCTCGTGCGCCCTCGTGCGCCCTCGTGCGCCCTCGAGCGCCCTCGTGCGCCCTCGAGCCGCCCCTGCAGGTCCGTCAGGCCCCCGAGCCGCCTCTGCAGACCCGTCAGGCCCCCCCCGAGCCGCCTCTGCAGGCCCGTCAGGCCCGAGAGCCGCCCCTGCAGACTCGTCAGGCCCGCGCGCAGCCTCTGCCCGACCGCGCGCCGCCCGTGCAGGCTCTCGCCGCCCGCCGCGTCGCCCTGCCCGCGGCGTCACCGCCTGCCCGCGGCGTCGTCACCTGCCCGCGACGTAGCCCCTGCCCGCGGCGTCGTCGCCTGCCTGCGGCGTCGTCGCCTGCCCGCGACGTAGCCCCTGCCCGCGACGTCGTCGCCTACCCGCGGCGTCGTCGCCTGCCCGCGGCGTCGTCGCCTGCCCGCGGCGTCGCCACCTGCTCGCGGCGTCGCCCTGCTCGCGGCGTCGTCACCTGCTCGCCGCGTCGCCCTGCCCGCGGCGTCGTCACCTGCTCGCCGCGTCGCCCTGCCCGCGGCGTCGTCACCTTCCCGCCACGTCGCCCTGCCCGCGGCGTCGCCACCTGCCCGCCGCGTCGCCCTGCTCGCCGCGTCGCCCTGACCTAATCCGCGCCTGGCCTCTGGAGCAGCCGCCCCTGCAGCAGCCGCCCCTGGCCACTGGAGCAGCCGCCACTGCAGGAGCCGCCCCTCGCCCCTGGAGCAGCCGCCCCTGCAGCACCCGCCCCTGGCCCCTGGAGCAACCACCGCTGCAGCAGCCGCCCCTGGCCCCTGGAGCAGCCGCCACTGCAGCAGCCGCCCCTGGCACCTGGAGCAGCTGCCGTCGCGGCCCGGCCTCGCCGTGCAGCAGCTGCCGCGGAGCTCCCTGCTGCGGCCCGGCCCCGCCCTGCAGTTGTAGCGGCCCCGCTGTCGCCACCGTCTTGCGCCTGCCGCGCCGACCACTGGTGAGCATTGCCCTGCCAGCACTGCTACCGCTGCTACTGCTGCTACTGCCTTTTCTACTCCCACTGCTACTGCTCTTGCTGTTACTGCTGTTACTGCCACTACTGCTACTACTGCTGCTTCTGGCGTGGCCAGATGCAGCTCCAGGGCCGTACGCGTGAGTCCCTCACGCCCCAGCAGCTTCGTGAGTGGTACGCTAGTTGGGGCTGTCGGGGTGGCCGTAGTGGTAGTCGCTCTGGAGTGGGTCGGTCGGGAACTTCTGGTAGTGGACAGGTGCAGCTGTCGTGTCCTCTTTCGCCCCAGCAGCTTCGTGCGTGGTACGCTAGTTGGGGCTGTCGGGGTGGCCGTAGTGGTAGTCGCTCTGGAGTGGGTCGGTCGGGAGCTTCTGGTAGTGGACAGGTGCAGCTGCCGTGTCCTCTTTCGCCCCAGCAGCTTCGTGAGTGGTACGCCAGTTGGGGCTGTCGGGGTGGCCGTAGTGGTAGTCGCTCTGGAGTGCGTCGTTCGGGAGCTTCTGGTAGTGGACAGGTGCAGCTGCCGTGTCCTGTGAGTGAGGCTGCCGCTCTAGGTGCTAGTGCGTCTGTTGCCCTAGGTGCTGGTGAGGCTACCACTCCCGGTACTCGCGTGTCTGCTACCTCAGGTGCTGGTGAGGCTGCTGCTCTAGGTGCTAGTGAGTCTGCGCCCCCTGGTACTGAGTCGACTGAGGCACTGCACACCTTCACTCTGGACTCAGGTGCTTCTCGCTGTTTCTTTCGTGACCGCACTGCCCTTGAGCCGCTTGCTCGGCCAGTTGCTGTCTCCCTCGCTGACCCCTCTGGGGGTCCGGTCATTGCGACCTCCTCCACTGTCCTTCCTTGTCCTGCGGTCCCGTCGGGCACACTGTCAGTTCTCCACCTCCCCTCGTTCTCTACGAACTTGGTGGCGGGTTGTGCGCTCCAGGACGGGGGTGTCCACCAGTTCACCCCTGCCTACGAGCGCGTGACACACTGCACGTGTGCTCAGAATTTGTGTGGTTTCCTTGAGATCCACCCTGAGCTTGCTTTGCTTTGCTTTGACTGGTCTTGTGACCATCTGGTTGTCTCCCACTTAGCCTATGGGGGTGTGTCAAACATTATATGTTTATATTGTGTAGGCTATAATGGGTTTAGCCTTAGGGGGTACAGCTTTGTTAGGGTTTCCTACTTGTATCCCCCTCCTACCTAGTTTCATTCATTCTTGTTCTATTCTAGATTCTAACAGGTTGCTCTATGGTGTGGTGAGGTCTGCTGTATGGTGTATGTGGTGGTGAGGTTTATTGTCTGGTGTGGTGAGGTCTGCTGCGTGGTGTGTGTGGTGGTGAGGTTTCCTGTCTGGTGTGGTGTGCGTGATGGTGAGGTTTGCTGTCTGGTGTGGTGAGGTCTGCTGCGTGGTGTGTGTGGTGGTGATGTTTGCTGTCTGGTGTGGTGAGGTCTGCTTTGTGGTGTGGTGTGGTGAGGTTTGCTGTGTGGTGTGGTGTGGTGAGGTATGCTATGTGGTGTGGTGTGGTGAGGTCTGCTGTGTGGTGGCGTGGTGTGGTGAGGTCTGCTGTGTGGTGGTTTGGTGTGGTGAGGTCTGTTGTGTGGTGGTGTGGTGTGGTGAGGTCTGCTGTGTGGTGGTGTGGTGAGGTGAGGTTTGCTGTGTGGTGGTGAGGTCTGCTGTGTGGTGTGGTGAGGTGGTGTGTGCTGGTTTGCAATGCCCAACTGGAAAGCCAATGCGGAGGTTCATTCTGCATGGTACATGGCGTGTGTCACAAGCTTTCTCATGCACCATCCGCGACATCACTCGTTAGCTGTGCTCGTGCAACTCATTTGCCTGCTCAACTGCACGCATACGACTCTGCCATGCCTGGTATCACATGCCAAAGGATCATCTCTCACTGATGTGAACTGTTTGAATTGAATCATGATTTTCTCCCTCCTCCTTCCCTTTGTCCTTCCTACCTGCCTCTACAATCACCCCATGCTTGTCCCGCAGGCTGCGATACGGACTGTGGGTCCATTGCCAAGTGCATCGTGAGGGATGGCAAGCCCGAGTGTGTGTGCCCGGGGTCTCAAGTCTTCGACACCAATGCGAAGCAGTGTCGCGCTTGAGTAGTAGTAAGTGCGAGAGCATGGTGAGAGAGGCAATCCTAATTCCAGGATCATGAGAGTGTAGCCTCTTGGAGTGTTAATGCTGTGTTCTTTCCCTGGTCAGTGGACCTCGCCAGTGCAGTGCATGTGCCCTGGTGACCTCCCTGCCGTCGCCAGCACATGCCAACGTCACTCAGCAGTCACCCATGCCGCTCAATTGTCTGCTATGCTCTTACTTCCTTTGCAAATGCTCTTCCCACCACGTTTTAAAATTTCTGCTCGTATTCTCAAGTGAATGCTTCCTCCCTCTCCCTCACATGTGTGAAGAGGCCCCTTGCTTCTCATGCGCTCCAAGCTAAGGCACTCAGCCAGTCAAGCTTCCTTCTCTCCCTCCCTCCCTCTCTCCCTCTCGCCTTTCAGTCTTGGATTTCTCGTCGTCCTTCTCACTCGTAATTCTCTTTCTTTTCGCGATTCTCTACTCCTTCGTATAGATGATGCGACAGTGGAAGGAGCACCAGCGATGGGGTAGCAACGCTTCCAATATTGAGCCTAGCACACTTAGCATAAAGAATTTCTTCAGCGCTGCTTTTTCCTAAGCACAAATGCTGCTACATGGGTTCATGCAGGTAATTTTCTGGATAAGAGTTCTTTGTTTTGTGGTTACATCTCAGCTTATATTGAATGTATTGTAGTGTACACATGTTTTCGATGTAGGCTTCATTTCATGGGCTTTTGTTTGCGTATGTTGATTTCTTATTTTGAAGAAGTGGGTTCAAAAATCTGTTGTCAAAGTAATGTAGCGAAATAAATTACCGTCATCGGCCGATATAAGACATATATGTCTTATCTCATACATTAGAAGAAATGGTAAGAATGTCTTGTAAACGGAGAGGTATACAACCTCTGAGATAAACGATCTCAAGGCCAGTTCAAGAGTTCATCATCATCACACACACACACATACACACACACACATACACACACACACACACACACACACACACACACACACACACACACACACACACACACACA